CATTTAAATAATAATGGTTTGATTATTAAATAATAACTTGCAGTTCTTATTTGTGTTGCATTTATGGATAAAACCCAAAGAACATTTAGGATATATATATATATATATATATAAATACTGGTCAGATATCCACCAGATCTTTTAGTGATTTTTGTCTCTCTTGGAGAAATGTAATTGCAAAATCAATTACAAAAGTTAATCTGAAACAAACTCAAATACCATAATGAAATTAATTCACAAATTATGATTGTTATAACTTAAATGTTATATCTGGAAACACAAATACACAACCGAAAATAATACATTTAATATGCTCGTCTCTTGTCCTGGGTGGCAGATTAAGTTACTTCCACCGCCTAAAACCCAGGAAAAATAGTAGGAGCGGACTTCAAACACATTCCCCTCAACTGGTTTCAACCAAGCACTAAATTCGATGTTTTCCAACCAAATATGGTTGAACTTACACTTCCCCATATTTGTTTGTAAATAGATTCGAAGATACCTTAGTTTCTGAGTGCCACTACCACTTGGTTGCTAGGTTACTAGCTGGGTGTTCTCCGATAAGGTTCCATGTTGATTTAATTCAATACAAATTGTTTTTGGGGAACTGAAAGGCTCTTACCGTACTGGTTACTTTGTAGCCCGGACATTTCCCCAAAACACATTTAGACGCAATCGCAACACAGAAGTACCTTTCAAATCCGATCATTTTTAAGACCTTCTGAATCATATTTAAGACCTTTCTTATTTTTCTGGTCATATTTAAGACCTTTTTAAGGCCTTAAATTCAGATGATCAAATGTAAGACTTTTTAAGACCCCGCGGGAACCCTGTGAAAAGGGCCTTGGCTTAAATCCAACCATTCGAGAGACAGTTTGAAACATTGCACCATTTTCCATGAGTGTGCATGCCCAAACGTGCATAAGATGCAGCTACAAGAGTAACTGCTTGGCTCCCAGTCCAAGAATTCCTCACAGTCCTAAAGAGTTCACCAACAAATATGGTTCATACAGTGTGTGTACACATAAAAGAATGATTTTATTACTACACTGGACAAGTAAGACATGCTACCCCCCTGTATTTTTTTTATTTGTGAACTGCCGAGGTGCGAACATGTATACCAAACAGCTAACTTGTTATCGTTTGGTCAGAGAAAGTCTTATCAACAGGCCCAGCTTGGCTGTTAAAACTGAGAATGCCAAAGTAGTGTGCTCTCCCTCACTGTAAGATATGAAATGAGGTGTCAGACAGAACAAGAGGAAAGACAGTTTGTCCCCTTGTGGATCTCACAAGTAACATGAAGGAAGATGACTTGACTAAATGTCAATGGTAAGGTTGTTATGACCGACTTCCTGCACTTTTGTCAGAGAATACACAGAAAGCCTTTTAAGGTTTATGAGACTTTGGACTCAAAGCATTTCCGGAGCCTCCAAATAATTTCAGATAATGTGTCATGCTCTGTGGAACGAAGGTTGGCATGCTTGAAAAAAAGCCAGCAGCCTGTGCTCCTGTTACTAGAGCGGGATTGTTAATGTGAAACTACCTTGGTTGGTGATTGGCTAATGGTCACACAAGCCAAATAATCATGACATCAAGTGGCCAAAACCTGATCAGCTCATTTCCAGTTTGTTATATAAATGGATCAGGACAAAAAGTGAGCAATTCTTTGTTCCTGAAACTTTCAGAATCTCTTAACACAGAGGGGACACATGATGTATAAAATACATGAAAAAGTGGATTTTGCATAATAGGTGACCTTTAAAATCAACATGCATTTTGCTTACTTAATGAGTGATGAAGCGTATACCATGAACTCATGTTTCCTTATAGTCACGGAGAGTTCACTTCCTAGTTTGCACGGGGTCACAGTTTTCCTTGCGGCAGCCGTTGGCTCAGTGACAGGTGTGCAGGCTCCACTAATGTTGTTCCAGTTCAACAAGCAGATGCAGCTGTTGCTTAGTTGCTAGTTGTGCAAAGTACAAACAGCCTTCTATGCTTATAGTATGTCCTCTTTTCCTGCATTGACTTCACAGCTGCAGGACGTATGGCGTGTTAACAAAAGAATGCATTAAAAAAACATTATGCAATAGTGCTTTCATTGCTTCCTCTTTAACAGATGTGTTTGAACATACAGTGAATGTAATTCATGGTTTTTAGATGGGCACTTTATAATGATATAATAATGTTGGGAATGAATCTATGACACTAAACTAGGTGTATGCCATACAAGTAAACGGTCATTTTAAAACTAGCGCAACATAAGCTAAATATTTAGTCTGCATATTTAATTGTTGGTTTAATTGGCAGTTTTCATGTCCATATAGTGAGAGTATCATATTAAAAATTAGATTGCAAAAAGGACTTAAAAAAGAATAAAATGGTCATTATAAACAATTTAGTTTATAGACTAGTATGTATAAATGTTAAAGTGTTATTAAATACACAACACAATTGTTATGTTACAACTGTTTTCTAAACTAAAAGTGGTCCGTAAAAAGGAATTGTAATAATGAAACTGTGTACAGCAACACTGCCTTTGTTCACAGTTGTAATGTTTCCCACCAAACTGTTATCTAACAAGATATGGCTTTATTCATTTGCAATGTGTGACTAGCACCTTCTTCACCAGTGTCTTCTGCTCCTCCGTGTATGGAGAGTTACTAGAATATAAGACTACTATCACTATTAAACAAACTAATGAAAAAAGTCAATATGAGGAAGAAAACACTGCATTTTTATTGGTAATGTCCTCCACACTGCCCACTTCGGTATTTATTATGTAGATGGGGCAAATATCTGAACATCACTCGTTTAAAATTGCACATAAACCTAGAGTACATCAACTACAACATCAACATCTGTGTGAACTCAAAAGTACAAACTGAGCAACACTGACCTACTTTTTCACCCAGTTGGCACAGTTTTAAAACGAACTGATAATTCATCATCTACTAACTAAGCTAAAGCAGGTGTTTCCATTTCCAAATTAAGGACAGACACCATAGAGTCTAGACTGTATGACTGATACACATTTTTGGAGTCAGACAAACATATGATAAGGTTCGTTCTAATGAGACCCTTCTGAGAACTTATAGGCGATAAAAACACATACAGAATGATGTAACTCTCTGCACAAGGTGGAGAGGCATTGGGGGGACTGACAAACACATTAACAGTTATTTCTACATTGTGTACCAGCAGTAACTTTTTTAAGCAGCAATTAAATGACTAGACTGCAGAGGTGGACAAAGTTCTCAGATCTTGTACTTAAGTAAAAGTGCTAGGCTGTAGAAATACTATTAGTAGTTCTTCTAGTTACAAGAGAAGTCCTGCAATCAAAATGTTGGTCAAGCAAAAAAGTACAAAAGTAGTAGCATCAAAATATACTTAAAGTACCAAAAGCAAAAGTACTCATTCTGCAGATTGCCCCATTTCAGAATAATATATATTGAATATGTTCAGCATTAAAGTGTTATCAATGCTTATAAAAGGTGCGGCTAGTTGTATTTACCTTTTATTTTGCAGGGTAGCTTGTGGATTTGGTTTTTGGTTAGTGTAACTAAAGTCTTATTTAAGCGTGTTTTAATATTACACATCATTAAACTAAATCTGCTTTTTCTTTTTGTATTTACCTGAATTGAAAACTTTTTTTTTGTATTAGCCAAGTAGCCAGTACAGAAAATGTTTCAGGCATAGGTCAGAAAGTGTCAGTGTCAGTCAGTCCCCGTTAAACACAGTGTGAGAACACTCCCTCCTACGGTGTCTGATAAACAAATGGGAGGGGGTGTAGCAACATATATCTTTTTCGGCACATGGTGAACACCATACAACTTCACTGGGATAACTCAGGGAAATGAGATGAACTGTGGTATTCGTGTACATTTGTCCCGGCGGGCTGAGCAACAAAGGGCTTGTCGAGGCATGCTTTCAGCGGCTCGTTGGATGAAAACCACCGCTGTAAACCAACAGTGTTAAATGTTATTTAGTGTATTTTCTGCCCTTTAAAACAGCTTTGGCTCAAATATTATACTTAAAATTCATCTCTCCGGCTACTTATGAACGGTCATTTTGAGATATTGAATATGTTTTCATTGTAAAAACTCGATAATGGCCGTTGACTCAAACACTTTAAGTAACTTTTAACGTCCCAAGACCACCTTTAAGAATCATTCACTCACCTCCAAGAAGAAGTAACCGGGTTGTAATTCATTCAGCAGAAAGGTTAATATCCGAAATGCAACGTTACTGTAAACTGCTGTCCACCAGCGACTGAAGACTACTTCCCTCTTTTACTCTCCCAACATCCTGACTGCAGCTCCGTGGAGCAGCAGGGGGCGGAGCTACGACTGATGCACGGGCTCGAGCTCTAGTGAGCCGCATGTGGAAACTACAGGAGGTGGGAAGTTACTAAACATTTACTTATCTCAATTATAATTTATGAGATACTTGTACTTTACTTGAGTATTTCCATTTTACTTTGCACTTCTATCCCACTACAATTCAGACCGTGTACAACCGTGTACTTTTACTCCACTACATTTACGTCATAATAGATAATATTTGCATTTGTCAATTTGCATAATAAGTACAATAAGTATAATTATGTTGATGCCAATACTTCTACTTGAAAAACGTATTTGAATGCAGGACCAACCCTCCAGCAGTTGGCAGTGTGGAAACTACAGGAGCCTGCTAACGGTCGTCATAGTTAGTGATTAACTCTTGCAAAGAGTTTTTTTTACGAGTGTATCTGTAATGCATGTGGCTGGCTTCGATGGACAGCAGGGTTACTCACTTTGCACTTGCCTCCTAATGTCATAGACCTTAGTACGGAAACAAACAATGACGATAAATGATTAAAGCTAGAGAATAAAACCAAGAAATGGTTATTTTGAAATGTGGTGTCTCAATTTCAGCAACTGATTTTGTTGACTAGATTTGAATTAAATACAGTTCAAGCTGGTTAAACACAGGATAAAGACAAATAAACACAAAACACATCGATTATTTAGTGTTTTATTAATATAACTTACAAGTAACATTATGTAGCCTCCCAACCATTAAAATCCTATTGTTTAAAATCATTATTATGCAATAAAACATCACAAAAATATGCTTAAGAGCTAAGTCATTATAAATTGATAGTCTTTTCCTTAAAGCAGTAGTTAACGGATTAAAAGTCAAATAAATACAGATTGGAAATACTATGACTCTTGTGAGAACACGATACATTTATTACATTAGGAAAATATAACTTCCTCAGGCACATAATTAACTCACAAATCATCTTTACAGTAAATCAGGCTTTTGATTAAAACGATCCTTTTCATCATCGCCTCAATACAGTCACTATAAATTCTTCCACAGCCTCAGTATCCACTATTTATACTGTTGTATTTGATTCATCCCTGAAAATAATCTACTGCAGGTTGAAATAAATTCCCCAATTCTAAGAAATATTAAACATTTCTTCTGGTCAAGTCAGTTAATCAAAGTTTTTACTAAAACTGTTTTTGTGTCAGAAACCATAATGACAGATAGGAAAGCATTTTTCTAAATAAGTTTTAAAAATATCCAGTTATCAAATATTTCATCATACATCAACCAGAAAAATGGAGTCAGCAGAAGTTGAACATTGGAACATAAACAATAGATGTATTTAAACTTTAAAACATGCTTGATTAAAAACTAGAAACATAGGCATTGTAGATGTTGGCTGCGGCTTTTCGCCTTCTTAATATGATCAACCCCACACAGCAGGGAGGGACACTTTTAATTCACATATAGAGTATGTTGCTTCTTCAGACATTCAATACAATTAAAGTACCTGCCCTCACAGGTGCTTTGACACCTCGCATTAGCTGCTTTCTGTCCCACAAAGAAATCCAAAGCATGTAGATTCATTCTTTCTAATGATCAAACACACAGCTCAACAGAGAGCATTTCAAAAGATCAGAAATGGAGGAAATTAGAACAAATCCCCCCCTTAGTGGTTCATTTCCAGAAAGTCTTCGTAAATCTCTCCGCTGTCTTCGCTCTATAAAGTGCAGCAGGGATGATATGTTTGTGGTCCAACCACGGAAGTTAGTATCGCCTTGGTTTCCCGGACACTGATGTATTTTTATGTCGTAAGGCAAGCTGTTAAAAACTCTTAAGCTTGTGTTAACCACAGACTTTTTCTTTCAGACATTCAAAACCCACTGAATTCCACAAAAAAGGGAACCAGAAATTGAACAATGCTAACTAATTTACAGGTTTTATGACTCATTCCTGCAGCACTCTATTGAGCTCAGCTTCTATTCACGGAGTAAAGGTACCTAGCAGCAGCAAGAGATGTGACAAGTGTTGGGGTAAAGGCAATGAAGACAATTGTGACAGACATGAAATTTGATCGCTGTCAATTATCTCTACAAAAGGAACTACAGGCTAATTGATGTGTAAAGCATACACATTGGGTAAGGTATCTAATTAAGGCTCAGAGGATCTGTTTAATAGCGTAAAACAGTGACTGTTAAGGAAAAGTAATTCAAATTCTTGCTCCTTTAAAGCACAGTTGAACTTGATGTAAATGCAACGGTTTGATTGAAATGGTTTCGTTACAGTATTTTATCGGGGACTATTTGTATATCTTCACTAGATGTTACTGTTGCACCTCTGCTGCAATTTTCTGAGGTTTTTATACAGAGAAAACTCAATTATGACTGTCGTTGAGGTCAGTCACATTACGTTTTGTCGCCACAGATTTGAAGAAAATATTACAGCAAAGGATACATTTGATGGATAAATGAATGTGTCATAACAATGAAAGAATGAATTACATGTCATTTCAAATATGGTCCTTGTTGTCAGGGGAAACAACTAAAACTGATTTTGCAGTTGGTCTGTTTCCAGCCTAAAACGCTCTAACATTACGTAACATTCTGAGAGCGATGGTCTTTCCATCTTGGCAGGCTATCATAGAGAAGCCATCAGGCACACGGCAGAAAGCGAAGAAAGATGAGGCAAAATGAATTAATAAGAAAGAAACTTCATAGTGGAATGTCTCTGCAGAAAACATCTAAAACTACAAATACTTGATTGTTTCAGTATTATTAAAGCTATTGTTTTGGATCTTGAGTACATTTTTTAGATAGACATTTCCGGTTTTCCTACCATTCTCTACTGTAACTATAAAACAACCCCCTGTAATTTCCCCCATTAATAAAGAGACCAATGTAGACCGCTCCAAACCCGACCACATATAGACAGATTGGAGAAGGGAATGCTACATTCCTTCAGATTGGTACATTTGATATGATGGGGATTTTGTGGTTCAGGTTGGGCCTCTATCCGTTGAGCTGACAGGTCGCAGCCAGGAATCACAGTGCAAGGGGGGTCAGCTCACAGTTGGGACCGCAGGGGCTTCAGGTATTTGTGGAATGATTCATGCACCTGGGAAAGGAAGAAGGAATGAAGCATTTGTTAAGTCCTGCACAAAGAAAGCCGTTATGGATGAATGGAAAGAGCAACATTTAATTTAGAATTATTACAAAAAATTGATAACCCTCATCCCTGAAGTACATTGGTTCCCTTTCTGTCTGTGTCAATCTGCTAACCAAAATGAACTGAAACCAACAGTTCTGCTAGGTAGCGGTAATTCAATCCGTTAGATCGAACAAACAATGTTATGAGTATCACCTGTGCCGTGACATTACCCTGTGACCCTGACTGACCTCTGTGGCGTTTAGTGGTGAGCGACGAGCCCACTCGAACAAGTGCTCATAGACGTTCCCATCATATCTTCCCAGGATTGAATTCAGCCTCTTGTCGTTGATGTCAAAGGAGTCCACCAGTGCCACAGCGTTGGGCCTCAGCTGAGACAGCAGCTCCTTGACACGAACAGAAACCTGCAGCACCTGGGGAACACTCAGCAGACCAGCCTGGAACAAAACAGATGGAGATGAGGATGAAAACGCTTTGCAGGATGTCTCTCTTCTACCCTAACTGAGAGGGAACAGACAGGAGAGACAGCGAGGCGTGACATTTTATACTTTACTAAAGATATGAAGCTAAACTAATAAAACAAGCTCAATTGTCCTTTCTTAATCCGCAACAAGGCCACCAGCCATGCAGGAATACAAATCCCACAAACAAAGAACCCATTTTCTTTGCTCAGAGACAAAGAGGGAACTGAGGTCGGGAACTAATGAATGACAGCTGTAGGGCAGCCGATTTCTTTAAATATGTATTGGTTACGTTTCCAAAACAATGAGCCACTCTTAACATCCGCATAAATGAGATCTGTCACACTTATTTATTTCAAAAAATGTTGTTTTTTAAAGTGTTGCCTTTGCTCGTTCCAAAACAGTGGTGAACATCAGGAGACTTCTTTATAACCAAATGTTGCTCCACATAAAACCTGGGCAACAATTGCTTGTTATTTTCACTTCAGCAGTCTCTTTTCTGTGTGTGTCTGTTGTGTGTGAGCCCTGCAATCTGTGTAAGACTGGAACAGAGGATACTAAAGATCAGGTTACATTTTAACAACAGTAAATAATCCATATCACCACTGATCGGGACCATATTGTTTCTCCACGTGATGATTTTCTGACCTGTAGGAAGTCTCCAGAGTTGTTTTTGATGCCATGCAGGGCGTACAGCAGAGCCAGGGTGGACAGCACCGAGTGTATCGCTGTGTCACCGATCTCCCCCAGCTTGTCAGTAAAGAGCTTCACTACGACATAGTGACAGTGGGCCTGGAGAAGGAAAAAAATAAACTGATGGATGAGAAAAAAGATACTCATTGCAACAAATAAGAAATAATTGTAGAAATAATATGAACATGGGGAGGATTTTAATTTGCTTTAAGCTGAATCAAAACAACATTTTTGATTTGGGAGCTCTGCGACAATCTTGAGCACATATGTGCTGAAGTTCAGGCCATATCTTAAGGGAACAGTGTATAAATGAACTTACATCTGAGGCTCTGACCAGGTCAATGGAACTGTTGTTCCAGGCGTCCTCCTGGCACTTCCTGCGCTGCAACTCCTGCTGGATGCTCTTAGCTGACAGCTCAACTAGACTACAAACACAAACATAATCTGAATTTGTTGTGAATGCTCTTATTGAGTAAGATTTAAAACTTGACTATCATAAATCAAATCTCATGACAAACATAGTAGAAACTCTTCCTAACACGCAAACGTCCGACCTAAGGGTCTAAGGATAGAGGGTGTAGTTTTTCTCATACTGATATTCTGAACAATCTGTGCTGTTGTATTTGCTGTAAAGTGTCTCTACTGTAGGCTATTTTTATTATATGTACAGCACTTTGGCTCGACCAAAAATGGTTTATAAATGTGCTATATAAATAAAACTTGATTTGATCTCTGTCCTGCTAACTTGTGAACAGGCAGACCACATGTTGTCGCCCTCCACCAGTCAGGCTTAGCCGCTGTTTGTCCTCACCGCACAGCTCACACTGACTGCCAAATGGATTTAGTTGTGACTAAGGCTGACAGTATGCAGGGATGTGATCAGGACAGCGTATTATGTCCGTGACGTTAAAAAAAAGGACAAAGACAGAAATATGGTTGACAGCTGAGAGCAGCAGATTTGGGCAGATCATAGGTGAATAACATAACTGAAGCTTTGGTCAAAACCAACACCTCAGATACAAATGTAAATATAACAGCAGTCTTTAATTCAACATCTATCCCTACAGTACTTGTGTAAGTCATTTACATTTAGCTCATGCAATATTTAAACACTGAAAGGCACATTTTATGATCTTTACATATTACATGCAACCATGAGCCAGGGTGAAGGGGTCAAAGCAGGTTAAAGATAACTACTTGAAAATAAATAAAGCTTGAGGAAGTTTTCCCACAATAATGTGTCTAATGAATAGGAGGGAAATAATGCGAAATGGTAAAAGGCATTAAAAAACAAAAAATACAGCCCAAAGCTTGAGAAACTAGATCATATTCCAGCTGTTCCTGTGTCTTACATGGCAGCTCTCTGTTTGTAGACCTCCACCAGGCTGGCCAGGTCGTTCACGTCCACCACGGTTGGCCTGGCAGCGACGGTCTGAGGCTGGACCCTCTGAAGGTTTGCGTCATTCAGATATGACACGGTGCCGCTCAGCTGCTGTCCTTCCTTAGCCTGCCGGTAGCTCTTCACCAGGTGTCTGTTGAGCAGACACAGGTGATGGTGAAACAGCTAACACAGTTGTCTAGGCATTCTGCACATGGGGCTACTGTAAATCACGTGCCCTAAGATTACATTTCATATGAAAATGGTATAGAGTAGTTGGTCTAACAATTTGAATATCGAAGATAGGGTTACATATGCAGGGTTAAACTTTTTTTTTTCTTTTATAAATCATATGCAAGACATTTAATAAACACAAAACCAGATTTCAAGGCTTTAGACCACCCAACAACACATGTTGTGGCATTGTTCCTCATCATACTAAATCTATTCTTAGGGCATCAATGGGACATGGTGCCGAGCTAGCTTCTGACCCATTTATTTTTAAAGTCCAGGAAATTAGCTGTACCCAAATGCATTAGTTCTTAACCTGTTAAACCCTGAGCCTGTTTTTCAGGTTTCAGGCTCGAAAATGATGAAACAAGTGATATTTGACCTTTTTAGACAGATTTTGCAACAAAAAAACCTCATCTGGGGCCATTTGGGTGGATTTTCCATATCTCTGGCCCCCCTTGCTGGATTTCGACATGTGACATCTCTTTCTGACCGTCAGAGCCAATGGAATCGAGGGGAACTCCCACATAGTCCTTATTTTGTAATGTGTGTGTGTGAGACTGGCCTAGCCTAGACCGGAAGCAGCAGCCACTCTGGTGGCTACCATTAGCAGCTAACATTTGCTCTCCGATTTTTACATAAAAATGGAATTATGGATTATAAATTAAATCATTTTTTTTATACAGAGACGTTAAAAACCTATGGATTAACCGATTCAACCGCGTTTTTTCTCGTTTTAATTGAACACGTCTTTTGATCAGATTAACAGCTACGGTGAGACAATCTCCCTAGAACAGGGGTTCTCAAAGTGCGGCCCGCGGGCCAATGGCGGCCCTCGGAAATGTTTCTGGCGGCCCGCGATAGTTAATGTGCTGAAATGCATGCGTTATATTTGAATCCTCCATGGTTGTATCTAGTAAGAAGTAGAATGAGTAGCTTTCCAGCGGTATCTCCTGTGAGACTGTAACCAGGGCACAGCAGCCAATATGGCCGCTCAAAGCAGCTTGACTTTACACTGTGTGGGATTGGTGGATTTGTGTGTCCGTCAAGGAGATGGCCGGCAGCCATCATGGTCTGAAATGACCAATGGACATCGAGAAATCACTAAGGGCCTACCCACCAAGTAAAAAAAACATAAACCACGTGTCTCCCATCAGTTTACATCTGTGAGGAGAGAGAGAGAGACAGAGAAAATGGCTAAAAAAAAACTTTACAGTTGCCGACTTCGCTAGAGATTTTTTTCGCTAGCAGCAGTGAAGATAGAGCCTCAGAACCTGAATTCTTCGACTCTTCTGAAGAAGAAGAATACAAAGACAACAACAAGGATCCATTTGAACATGGGTAAGTGTAAATATTACAGTAATAGTGTACTGGCAATGTGTGGGGAATACCGCGAAAATGAACAATAGGTTTATTGATATATATTTTTTATCGATAGTCATGAACTTTTTATTGGAACAAAATAGACTCTCCATTAGCAAACGTTTACTCTGTGTTAACGTTATTTTGGTGTGTAAAAGTGAGATTACATGTGTAGATGATTAAATTAATCATTTATTCGTCCCACAACGGAGACATTTACAGTGACATGTTTTTGCCATCGATTATTTTATCATACTGTTCTGTACAGATGAGACTTTGTCATAGATTTATTTACATGTGTGCCTGTTATTATTTTACCGTCCTGTACAGATGAGACTTTGTAATCAGATGTAGCCTATGTATATGTGTTTCTGTGATTTTATACTGAATGTAAAGTAACTGGAAATACCTGTCTGTGTGTGTGTGTGTGTGCGTGTGAGAGAGAGATCGAGAGAGACTCCTTCTGCAACCTCCCAAACTCTCCATCTGCGGCTGCCACCAGGTCAAGATACACCTCAGCACAAAGGCTCCACCACAGCCATCACCTTCAACCCAGCCAGAAAGGAGGTCTCGTATAGCACTTGTACACCCCACCTACACAGCAGCCCATGCACCATCACCCCCACCTACACAGCAGCCAGACCCACTGTCTTGGAAGACAGACAAAGACCTTGACACTGTCTTGACATTTATAATGAATAGTTGGTTGAAAGTTCTGATGTTCAATATTGTAAATAGTGAGATTTTCTAGTTTCTTATATTTATATAAATAGTTGGTTGAAAAAAACATATTTATAATAAATTGTTGGTTGAAAAAAAAGGTTGAATGCTCAATTTGTATTTGTACACATCACATGAACCTTGGTATGTGATATGAAGTCATTATTCAGTCCTGATGTATCTCAGTCCCTGCTGTGGTGAAAGTAGAGTGATAAATACCTATTTTACTCAAAATTTGAATTTAATGTTTTTCATTTTAGACATGAATAACACATTTATATACAGTGTAATTCAAATATTTCACTGCTTTTGTGATCCTAGGACTTTGGTAACCAAATCTAAAACACCAAAACAATTCGATCACATGAGTAAATTTGTGTTTTCACAAGAGTTTTGAAGATTTTCCAAAAATCGGATTTCACATTTTAAGCTTTTGAGCTACTTATCTCATCAAACAGTGCTCTAAGGTGAGCAATATGCATATATAGCAAGACCAGAGATTGTCCTGAACATTTTGATATTTAACACATGGGGTGCCATGTTAGACGAAATACATTTAAAAGGTGATTTAAGAAAACATCTAAAAATCGAGAAAATACCCTTAGACTCCAGAGGGTTAAGAATGGTAAAACTGCGCCCCCTGGGTTGTCATTCCTAAATTATGAATGACAGCTTGTGGAAAGTTTGCTAGACTACTGGTTGCATGGCAACTAGGCATCTCGCGAGTTGCGGTAATTGGTTAGTACAATAAAGAAAGGATTTGTTTTGGAATTATTTTGTGTTCCGTTTTTTCTTGGGCGGCCCTCAATCCAATATTGGGTACCTAAATTGGCCCTCACTCATCAAAACTTTGAGAACCCCTGCCCTAGAAGCTCCATAAAGGTACGTGTTGTGATGTCTATATTTGCTTCCCCTGTCGCGAGTCCGGATCACTCAGTGATGATACTATATACCTAAATAATCTGTGGAACCTCAGCTTTAATCGGATATATTGTATGTGCAGCTACGATAAGTAATAAGGGTACTTTTCTCTTGAGTTCTGTGCCAATGTCTGTTAGCATTTTTCGCTAAGGGGTCATTTAGATGCTTCTTATGTTATGAGACTTCTGTTTTGTTTTGGCAAAAATAGTTTGTATCGTCAGTTAGCTGAGATTGTTTCCGTTAATCTGGTATAACACATTAATAGGTTCTTAAATATTAAGATCCCCTGAGAGACACAGTGTCGTGAAAAAAAAAAACAGGGTCCCCGAACAGGTACTCTTTTTTCCAATTAACTTCTCTCTGTATTATTATGTATTCAACCCAAATCCAAATCTGGTTTTCTTATATCAACCTGTGGCTTGTTTCCATTCACAACACTATTTTTTGTAACTTTGTGTTTAATAACGAGCTTATTGTGTAAAGAATATTTCTGTTCACATATCCTTGCCAGGAAAACAATATCACATTGCAGCTTTTTGAAACTGCACAGCTGACCTTTATAGTACTGGTGATAAAGAAAAACATAACAGTTAACATTTAGAAATATAAAATGTCGCCCGTATTTGTTTTGCAGTGTGGGTGTGTTGGTGTTTATTTATATCTAGTTGTGTCTGTCTCGGTCTCGCTGCCATTCCTTTAAAGTGAGTAACAAAATAATGTTTAAAAAAAGCTTAATGTGTTTGCGACCTTCAGTGTGAGTACCTGTACTGAAAACTTTGCGATTTATTAAGTTATCAGCTGTTACTATAAGTTACAAGTCGAAACATCCCTCCTGCTGTGTCCCAAAACATAGTAAGACTCTATAAAGGTATTTGGTTGGCAGTATTTTAACTCGATCCTTGTGAGACGTCATATTTGTATTTCTGAGTTACCTTGCGGTCTGCAGCATCATGACTGTGTTCTCTCCCTCGTAGGTGCATGCAGGGGTGAACTCGACGTAAATGTCCGGCAAGGCGCTGCTGCGGGAGTAGCCGTGGCCGCCACATGACATGCGGCAAACCTCGATGCCAGCGTTGGTGGTCCACGTGGTGAAGGCCTTCAGGCCGGCAGACAGGGCATGGAGCTGTAGATATGAGAGCAAAGAGGATGAGAAGAGCATCATTCAAACTTTGGTGCCGTGTAAACAACATCAATTTACAGTATGTTAATGTATGAATGTATGATAAGCTATGAATGGCCCTGGCTAGAATACTAGAAACATTCAGTGATGGCTATGGGATAAACATTCATATGCCTATATATATATATATATATATATATATATATATATATATATATATATATATATATATATAATAGTAGTTATGACTGCACAATTAAATTAACAATAAGAAGTTGTAGTTCTTATTTACCACAATAAAATAGAGCCAGCTTTTAAAAGCATTACTTTTGGAAATGTTTTTATTTGTATATTCTTTTCATATTTATTTGATCAAATTAATGTTATTGTCTGTACTTGTTCTTTGCTCTATTCTTTTGGTAATTTGATGTGCCCATTTCCGTTTGACATTTTTTGTAACATTGTAAAGATATGGGCTACTTAATATGCTTAAATTAATAAAATGTAAACAAACAAACTTGTCAACCACACAGACAGGGCGATTGAAGCCTGTGTAATCAGAAGAATAACTTTAGTATTTTATTTGAGGAACATGCTGCGTCTGCTTTTACGCTAAATTACCAAGCTTGCATTGATGTCAGTAAACAAATCTGAAACTGTTCTTGGCTTGCACCATAGACACACTATACATACATCTGGAAGCACTGACACCGACTCAGTCAATATGCATCCTCCACAGTAAAACCTAGTTTACACCTTACATGTTCACATTTAGTCAGTACCTCAGGCAGTTGACTGAAGTCCCCATCGCTGATGTCTCCACTGATGCGTTGGTAGGTCTCTCTCATGTACTGTCCGACAAAAGTGAAGGCATAGGCCGTGGCCAGCAGAGGAAACAGCTTGTACTGCTGCGTCTGGTAATCCAGGATCTGAGGCTCTGGCTCTCTGTGGGACACAAAACACCAGTTTGACCTCTCAGTATCTCAAATAAAGGTTTTACTTCTCTTTTATACAGGAGGATGTGGTTAAAATCCTGATAAATGACATGTGCTATTTCCATTTCCTGTTGGAAAAACTTCGCCAATGTGAACCTCTGACACAAACCAGCATGACTAATGTGAATTTCCAGTGCCTTTAAAGGAAATCTAATGTTGACCTTGCGCATGAGTTGGTTTGTTCTTGCTGTTTCTATGAGTGATGCAATGTGTGTGCAGCTGAAGTGCCTTCATGCATTCATTTGTGTTGACTGACCCGGCCCGGATCTCAGACTGGTGTCGCACAGAGCTGTAGCGGATGGCGATGATGGAGGCTTTGGAGAGAGCCCGAGCGGACTCGCCTACGATTAAGGAGCGGATGAACACCATGGTGCCGTAGGTCAGCTTGGCACTCGGGGGCTTCAAATAGGTCCCATCTGGCTCCACCTAGTGGTGAGACAGAGTCACTCTTAAACTTTAAATGCAGTATACAGTATAACACACGTTTATTGTTACACTCTTGGATAAAAGAAATGCAGTCTAATACACCAGTTAAGGATGACTGTACTGATTGGTGTTTCTATTTGAAACAGGTTCTCCAATTATCTTCCAGCTGTATAAAGCTGAATCAGGTGCTCCTCAGTGAGAGGACAGAAAACGTAAAGGGGAAAGAAGACGCTGGAGCACACTTAATGATATGCAGCCTTTAACTATGCAACCAGTCTAAATGTAAAACTACTGTGTCTTCATCAGAGGCAAAGTGTATGGTTTTGGCCACTCTATTCACTCTATCAATTAGTTAAGCTGAATCTTCAACTAAACAACTCAACCAAAAATCAACTCAAAGGACATCCTCTAAAATGACCAAAGTTAAATAAACACCTCTTAAAACAACTGGGGTCAACCTTCGTTAAGGTCGGATTTAAAGCACGGCTGCATTATTTTTAGCTAGGTGTACTTCATTATTTTGCAACTGTGTGTATATATACCATTACTAGACTAAATATACAGTATTACTCTATACTGTCACAATGCAATGATTACATTTAAGGACAGATGGTTTTGTTAAGCAAAGGGAAAGTGCAATACACTAGCAGGGTATATGCAGGAATCCTGAAGTCAAATTGAATACCTTTTAAGACCTTTTTTAAGACCCTTTCCATACATTTTAAGAGCTCATCGCAACTTCGAGTTCTAACCGGTTACATTGGCGACACACTTTACCTCACATTTACTATATTGATTGTAAGATAGCACAACTAAACAGAGTGTAGACAGACTACTGAAGCCTCCTCTCCACATGAACTTCAACCTCTCTGTGAAGGTCAGGTTTAATGCAGTATGCTGCTTTGTTGCTTCTGTACTCTGTGCTCTTTCATTCCAGTAAAACTCCTCAGAAACCATTAGAAACCAGTATTTGACCAATAAACAAAACAATTGACAAAACTTTGAACTATGAAATATATTAAACTTTGGTGAGCTTCAGCGGGGTAATGCCATATAGGAGCTCCCTCACAAATACCCAGGGGTTAAATTGGGCCAGGGCTGTCCGGGGCTAAGCCCGGCACATAGGACGATGCTCTGACGTCATCACCCTCACACATTTGTCATATGTTTACAAAAAACGATATATATGTTAAGACTTTTCTCGTTCTTAATATAGACTATATTTAGGGTCGATATGTAACTTAAAATAAGAAGCAGCATTTTATGGCACGCTATGCATGGGGCCACCTTGAGGGGGTTTCCCGACATGTTGTTTCAGTAAATTAAAGGGTGTTTCATGTTGTCGTTGCTGTGGACCTTCTTAATACCTTGGAAAATGCCGTTTAATACTTTTTAATAGCCTTAATTTTCGCTAAATTGATTTATCAACTTTTAATACTTTTTAAGACCCCGCGGACACCCTGACTAGTGTTTCTGTAATTGTATACAGCATGAACAATGGTAGAGTATGTCCCTTATTCCTTCATTCATTCAAAAAAACGTGTCTAATCACCTTGGCATATTTCATAAGCATATTGTCTCGCGGGAGTCGCACGTTCTCTAGTTTTAGAAATCCGTTGTCAACTTCACTGAAGCCAAACTTGGGACCGATATCTCCGACCACAATACCTAAAAGAGAACAAGAGCAAAACAAAGTAAGTCAGAGACAGAGGTGAATGAGGACTGACTTCACCACAACACCAGATCCAGATAGACGGTGGTTACCTGGCAGCGGTATGTGTGTGCTCATGTCGCGGATGGGTACGATGAAAGCATGAATACCGTGGCAGTTTCCCAGGGTATGAAGCTGGGCTAGAACTATAGCATGGTTTGAAGTCTTACCAACTGGAAAGAGACAGAGTTAGAGGGTTAAAACCAGTTTGTTCTGAATGTCACAAGATGTTCTTATACTGGAAGAAAACAATAATAAATCATTATGAAACCTTGAGGGAAAGGGAAATAAATATTCCTTATGCTGTCAGGAATTCTGATAATATGCCATTCAAGGCTGGGAAATGACTGTTGGTTGAATCCTGCAGAGACATGCAGGTGTCCAAGTACTTACGTCCTCCTGGCCACCATTTGATGGAGCTGATTGTGGGACTGTTCAACACAAACTCCTGCGTGGCTGGGTCGTACGTGGCTGTGGTCTCCAGCCCGCGGAGGTGTGTGCCTAGAGAGACAAAACATCAAACCCCACCAAGCACACGCATACAGAGTGCACAGTTGAAGAGCAACAATTAATTTAAAAGACATACAACAGAATAAACATTAAATATAAGGACATAAAACATGTTAAATATTAAAAATGCATAATAGAAACTTTCCATGAAAAATCAAGTGGATGAAAACAACATAAAAAGGAGCATAGCAGTTTACTTTGTAGGTGTTTGACCGATCTAAATGTGTATATTATATAAATATTAGGGCCGGGACTTTAACGCGTTAATTAAGATTAATTAATTACACAAAAATTAACGCGTTAAAAAAATTAACGCATTTTAATCGCACTTATTTTTGCACCGCGGAACGTTTCTCACTGGATGAGTTTCAGGCGTACCGATTATACTGGAGCACCAACTAACGTTCATGACTTCAGACAACAACAAACCACAGTGAACAACAGTGGGAAATGTTGTTTTAAAAAACGGACGGATGGAAGCGTCGATAAGAGCACGGTTGTGTGCAAATTATGCAAAAAGGAATTCGCATATCACCGCAGCACATCAAGCCTCAAGTATCACCTCAATGCAAAAACATATAGCAGCTAGCGTGCAAGCTAGCGTGGACGTTAGCCTCTTTTATCGCGTTCACACCAAAAAGAGCCGGTACTAAAATTAGTTCATGAGAACCTTTTTACCCCCACGAAAGTCCCTGCTAGAGAGCAGGGACTTTCGTACGGCTCTCTTGTGAGAAAAGAGCTATATTTCTGATTGGCTGGGCGAATTGCAAACCACGCCCCGTAAAACTCCCAAAAAGTTTTGTGAAGCCGCCATTTTATTATCCTCGCATTAGCATTATTAGCATTAGCATTATCCCAGCGCAGAAACGCAGAGAGACTAACTTATGGCAACACAAAATAAAACATGGGAGCGGTGGAGATGAGGAGGTGTCGGCGTTCTGGCGATTTACTCGGAAGGCTTCAGTAGAAGCTGCTGGGACTCCCAGCAGCTTCTACTGAAGCCAGTCCCCAACTCCGGGGACTTCCGGCCGGGGACTTTGGGCGGCAGTATACGCCGTGAAGTGGTTTGCGGCCTGCCAGTAAACCCAAAGCAGAAGAAGAAGAAGTGACGTCAGCGGCTTAATTTGCCTAATCCACCCCCAGGTTCAAAGAGTTCTCATGAACTAAGTTCTCATGAACCTTTGTGGGAAAAGTACTGCGGTGTGAATGCGCCTAATGGTATACTAAAATCCATGTGAAAAAAATTGCTTCTCACTGTTCTCAGGTCAAATATTTACGTGATTAAAAATGCGATTAATTTCGATTAATTAATTACAAAGCCTCTAATTAATTAGATTAATTTTTTTAATCGAGTCCCGGCCCTAATAAATATACTAACACATATCTCATGCAGTTTGTTTGATTACCTTAGAATTTTCTAACACAAAGAAAGTATATCTGGATGAGCTACACTGGACAATGTGTTGCTATACCAATGTTAAAAACAAACAACGATCTAAGAGAATTAGTTAAGGACAGTTCTGTCTAATACACGGAGGAAGGGTTAGGGTTTAAGAGCAACAGGTGGCCTGTCTAAAAGGGCAGGGAGTGTGTATTACAGACTATCGCAGAGGTTTGGGCATGCAGAAGAAACTTTGGATAACTTGTGGAAAGCCAAGGCTTTACTAAAAGTCATTTATTTGACATACAAAACGTTAATTACGTTTCTTCCAACTTCCCATCTCGACCAAATTTAGTTTAATCTTACAGAGAAGAAGGGAAAATATGACGAAAAATATGTGAAAAACAAGTCAGAAATAAACCTTCTCAGACATTTTAGTATGTTTTGTACTAATATTGGTGCCAATTAGGTAAACACGTTATAATGAAATATGAGGAGAACCACAGTCTTCGAAATAAAGTACAAGTCTGTTGTGTATTAAAGGGGAAATGTGTAAGAAATGGCCAGGCTAATTGTTTAAAAACTTTAAATAGCGATCCAACATCATGAATAGAATTTAAAGATGTTACAGTGTTGACTCTCGGACCGGAGGCAGTCGCACTTTATTCCAGAGCTTAAAGGGATAGTGGAAATCCGCGAATTTTGGGTTTAACTTATGTATTTTTATTAAAAATAAGCATAATAAACAATTTTTTTTAATTTCATGCGCCTAGTTTCATTTTATTTTCAATTTTACTGCGCCCTCTCAATGAAACGAAATACTTCGGGAATCGTCGGGAATCTTCGGGTGATGACGAGAGCATAGGAAGACGGGCACAAACAATGGCGGACATTCAATAGCATTTGCATGTGAATAGCCGACCTTTATTATGGTGAATAGATGTGTTTTGTATGGCTGTAGTGCGACAGCAAATGCAGAGAATGGCGTATCGACGCATGCGTTTCCAAGAAACCCAGCCATTCGTCGTCAGTGGGTGAAATTTGTTCAGATAACACGGGCAAACTTCACGGAGCCGAAGCTGACGAGTAATTCGGCAGTCGTGTGCTCCCGTCATTTTACTGACGATTGTTTCGAGATTCCTCTGTCTCTAGCTCAAATTGAAAGTGGAATACATAAGAAGTGAGTATTTTATTATGTTTTCTTGTTGATTTAATGCATCATTAGCCTGTACCATTTTGTACAACGCCATTTATCCGGTACACAGTGTCGAATGTGTACACTACAGTCATCATATAGACATGATAGACTAACAGTACTGTGAGTACAGCCTACACTTGACAGGCAGCCTGGCTAGCCTAGGATTAGGACCCTACTACGTCAAAAGACCGATTGGCTCTAGCTGTATATCATGCTAGTATACAATTCATTTCATTTTATTCATGTAATTAATGCCCATAAGGCTGTTACATATACAATAATAAATGTGACAAGATAATTTATGTGAACCTGACCCTGGTATGTTATGAAATGTACCCTACATGCAGTCATCCTCGGGCATAGTCATAGGTAAGACGTAATTATTGTAATATTTTTGGAACCGGATGTTGTTTACTTTCTCTTTTCTGGCTGATAGCTCCAGGAATTCGAGGTCTTACAGTGATGACATTACACCTGTGGAGTCTCAGCTTTAAATCGTATATCTTGTTTGTGCAGTTAAGATAGTAATGAGGGCATTTCTACCGTGTGTTGTGTGTAAAAAAGCGTTAGCATTAGTTAGCATTGTTTCGCTCAATGCTAATTCAAAGGCTTGGTATTACTCTTGTGTTTTTTCTAGCTAACAATTGTTCTTATTGTCAGTTAGCGGAGTTTCTTACCTTTAAAAGGGTATGAAACATTAATAGTTTCATAAATGTTAAGAAGCCCTGAGACATGTGAGAGAAAAAAACTGTGGGAGGGGTCCACTGGGGGGACCTTCGGGCTTAACTGGTTAACAATGATTAATATTTGCTGCTACAACCCGTTGCTGCAGATACACGCTTTACAACATCAGGAAGATACGTCCCCAGCTGACTCAGAAAGCGACTCAGGTTCTGGTCCAGGCTCTCGTCATCTCACGCCTAGACTACTGCAACTCCCTCCTGGCTGGTCTACCTGCATGTGCCATCCGACCTCTGCAGCTCATCCAGAATGCAGCGGCTCGTCTGGTCTTCAACCTTCCTAAATTCTCCCACACCACTCCGCTCCTCCGCTCCCTTCACTGGCTTCCGGTATCTGCTAGAATCCACTTCAAGACACTGGTACTTGCTTACCATGCTGCGAATGGATCTGGCCCTTCCTACATCCACGACATGGTTAAACCGTACACCCCAGCGCGTGCACTACGCTCTGCATCAGCCAAACGGCTCGCTGCACCCTCGCTGCGAGGGGGACCCAAGTTCCCATTGGCGAAAACACGTGGGTTTGCTGTCCTGGCTCCAAGATGGTGGAATGAGCTCCCCATTGACATCAGGACGGCAGATAGCTTGCACATCTTCCGGCGCAAACTGAAAACTCATCTCTTTCGACTCCACTTCGAGCGTTAGAACTATTAACGAAGCACTTTTATACTAATAAAGGACTGGCTTACCTAAAGCCAGTTGAGTAGCACTTGAAATGTTTGGCTCTATGAAACCTGATGTACTTATATGATTCTGTTTTCTTCAAGGTTGTGTCTTCCTGGTCGAATGTACTTATTGTAAGTCGCTTTGGATAAAAGCGTCAGCTAAATGCAATGTAATGTAATGTAATATTTGTAAAGGCTACAGGTGATCTTAAGATGCGTGAGCTATGCTTAGGGACCTACCAGTCAAGATTATTTGTGCGTAGGGGTGCATCATCTGGCGCCTGGTCCTGGTCATCCTCGCCATTGCCCATGCCGTGAACCATCACCTCGGGCTCAGGCTCGAACAAATAAGGACGTAATGGTCCATCGTCTGGCTCAATATTGTCACCATCGGAACCGGATTCAGATTCAGTTCCTAAAACGACATTTTCGTAGGAAAGCCGAGAGGATGTTTCTGACTCGCTATCATCACTGGATACCTCGTACAATCCTTCTTCTTTGTCTGGTATATTTGCCCTTCCACGTTCATTCTGCATAGACGCCATGGTTTGTTATCGTATCGTCTTCCTAAGTTTTCGTCACTTCCGGTTTGGCTGAGTCGAACATTTCGTTTCTAAAAAACTTCGGGGAAGCTGCAATAAAGTGCTTCTAACATGCGTAAGGCAATTATTATATTTTTTTAATCAGGTGTGATTGTTTTGGTACGTAATTATGCTTGTATACAAGTTAAAACGAAACTATTTGAGGTTCCATTTCCACTATCCCTTTAAGATACACATGTGTCGTATTCTTGCCATGCTGTTAATAAGATTGTTAAATTAAAGTAGTTTTAAAAGTTGATGCCGGTAATTGTAGAAAGTCTGGACCCAAAAGTAAAGATGAAATGATACACCTATTGGTTTTTCCAGGATCAGAGCACATTGCCCCTCTAAAGAACGGGACTAAACGGATCCGATATTTTGGACTGCTCTGGTCATTTTACCGTGGCCCATCTCTGTCTGTGCGTAGGTGCCGATGATCTCTAGGTTCCAGGCAGGCATGAAGAAACGGTCCATTTGCTCTGGGGTGGCCTGGTTGAGCAGTGTGGGCAGGAACATCCCCAGGTGGAGATCCAAGGGCTCGGCCCTGTCTGGGTGAACACATCTAGGCCACGCAGCAGAGGGGCAAACGGAAGAGAAAAGCAGGTGGTGAAAGGGGCAAAGAGGGAGGTGCATAGGGAAGGTTTGAGCAATGTCAACGTTTTGAACCATGCAAAGAGTATATGAATGAGGAGAGAATATTGGAGCAAGTATTTTCAAGAACCCACAGAACAGATTTTTTTATAAGAATTGATATGGTCAAAATGAAGAAGCAGCGATGGAAGATATAAAGACAGAGTTTGTGATAGCAAGCAGCGAAAAGGCAAATTTGAAAAATTAAAACAGCTTGTGATAATATCATGCACATTGATTTGATCATTATGTTCATACTTTGGCTCAACACTCGACATTTGTCTTCAGTAGCTGCATCAATAAAGTTCCCCTGTCACATTAGAGCTTAAATACCTCTGCTATGCAAGCCACTGTCTCAGCCAGTTAGAAGCACGCAGTCTGACCATTAGCTGCTCAAATCAAAGCACCATTGAAAAGAGGTTTACTGAAATTACTTTATGGGACATTTACTGACGCGGATGTCATCATCAAGGATGTCGAAATGGGCATGGTTCACTCTTTTTTTTTTATAGACCAAACTATTAACAAAGAAATGACCAGATTCATTGATAAGGAAATCAGTCTTAAGTTGTGGCCTTACAAACGTTGCAGAGGGAACATAGGTTCACAACATGAATGATACTCAAATGATACTATAAGGACTTGGCCCAAACACTTGATCAAAGTGTTCATTAAAGACGGAGACAGCCGTTATAAACTTTCAGTGTTGGTTTGCATGGATGAAATACTAATTCACTAGACAACAGCTTGACTTCAGCAAGGCAACAAACAATAGCTGTGGTGGCCTAGATTCTCTCAGATTACAAAGACACATTCATCTCGAACTCGGTCTCATTAAAGGATCCACCACCACATGTTGTGCAGCACGTGACGTAGCTTCTCCTACTTCTGATGTGAGATACATGAAAAGCAGAACAAAATGACCAGTTTCCAGTCTGCACTAGCTACGGTCAAACGGAACCAGCTTTTTTGGCCACTCAAGATATAGCCAAAATATAAACAGAATTTCATTGGAAACTCATTTCACTTGCCAAGTGACTGAAAGTAATTAAGACACAGCAATCAAATTCACACAAGATTCACCATTAGAGCATTATCATAAAGATGGAATAAAGGAGGTGTGGGTAGGAAATCAGTGGCACTAGCTAATGTAGATGGGAATGTGTGTTGGAAAAGACCGGACAAAGCTACGTTATTTTGTTTTTAAGACAATTAAGGTTAGGGCTGTGCAATTAATCGTATTTTAATCGCGATTACGATTATGGTTTGCGACGATTAGGAAAACAGCATAATTGACAAAATACGATTATTTTGCTGGGTGCGCTTTCGCCCCTCCCTAAAAGCCCACTCGGCCACGTGGGAGTGACATGTGTTGTGAGTGTTCAGCGCAAGCGAAGATGTCAGAACAAGAGCAGTAACTAGTTAAAAAGAAGGGTCGCGGGGAGATTCCCAGTCGATCGCGAGATGTGTCTAAAAATAGAACAACAATATTCTGTTTTATCGTTAATGTCCTGTAACATAATGTTCCCGTGCCAGAATAATGCACTTGAACGCATCAAAGCTTTGTGATTGGCCGGCCTCACCCCATGTGTCCGGGCGTGGCTGGTGAGCAGTGCACTAGTTCGCTGACGTTGTCCGTGTCAACAGCATGGATGGTCAACAGGAGTGACAGTCCACACACACACAAGACCGCAATTATGGCAGAAGCAAAAAAGCCCAAAATATATAATTTTCACTCCGAGTGGGAGGATCATTATTTTTGTATCTATTCCAATTCAAAGTCCATCTGTCTCATCTGCAATGCGAGCGTGGCTTTATCGAAGAAGGGTAATTTAGGAGCGGCATTTCAAAACAGTGCACAAACGCTACGAGACGGAATTCCCTCCTAATTCTGCCCTACGCTCCAAAAGGGGAGGGTCCTGAAAGGACAGCTAAATGCACAGCAGTCCATTTTCACCAGGCCCAACAACAAGAGCAAGGCTGCTACCATAGCATCTTATCGTGTCAGTCACGTTCTTGCGAAACACATGAAGTCTTTCGAAGACGGCGAAGTTATGAAAGAAGCTTTCCTGGAGGCTGCGACGCGCTTTTGTGGGATAGTAAAAATAACAGCAGCATTTCAACAGGTTTTTGATATAATAAAAACTCAATTTAGATACCGTTATTAATCTGCTGTAAGTTTTAGTTTGTTTGAATTTATTCATGATAATTATTGTACAAAATGGTATAAGAATGCAAACATTAAGATCTGTTCTGTTTAAATTGATTATAGTCTATCAGTTCAGAAACTAGTGTTGCTTGCATCCTATTTTAAAGGCATTTATTTTTATACTCTAATAAAATGCAACAAAAAATGGGTTTGATTCTATTAATGTTGTCTTTTTTATTGCACTGTTGCTGCAGCAGATTACTGTGTAGCTTCAGATCTGAGTTGTCTTATTAGTAAGCCTAATTTACACTTTTGTAGCAACACTATTTTTATATAATGGCAAAGAAAGGGTTCTTCAGAGTCTTTTCTTTTTTTCCTGTGTCATATGTGGCAGCACTGCCACAAGTTGCTCTTCAGAGAGGGTCTTCAGTACAGGTGGCAATATCGTCACCTGCCTGCGCTCATCTCTGAAACCAGACCATGTAAACAGCCTGGTATTTCTTGCAAAAAATCTTTAAGAGATGACATGAGCAGCCCTACCAGCATTTGCCATGGTGGCCTAAACATTTTTATTTGGTCTTAAATTGTAGTTCAACATTTATTTCCTGTTACTTCTGGATCATGACGGTTGGCCAGCCTTCAACGTTTAACTGAGTGGAATATGTTGAATATGTTTTACCAAAATGTTGGCTATATGTTAAGGAGTTTTCAGTAGGTTGTGACAGTGCACTGCAACATATTTGATTTAATTTATTTTGGTCTAATTTATTTTTATTTATCATATTAATATATGTTTAGTATGGTTTTGGAAGTGCGCTCCAACACATTTATTGATCTTGTTTATTCGTAAAATATTATTTGTTTTAAAGTTCAATAAATGGTCAATGAATAATCGTCAAAATAATCGTGATATCAATTATTGACCAAATAATCGTGATTATGATTTTTGCCATAATCGCACAGCCCTAATTAAGGTGTAAGGGACAGACACTTATGGAGTGATATTAGTAAAACAGCTATATATATAGAAAACTAGCCACAAATAATCTGTTGTTAGAACAAAATGAAGTATACGAACACAGCTGTCAGTACAAGCATGCGGCTACTTTGGAATTTCCTACATGATTTGGACATGTCAAACACATACAAGAAATCACCTTCTCCTGGTACTTATCCAAACCTGCTGTAATGGGCCTGTTTTCCCAGCCCCAATATAATTCCCTAACATTCCAATAAGTGCTATGTTATAACAGCACAACAAATAGCTGCCCACTGCTCCTAGTACCAGACTCCTGGTACTCGGATGGGTTAAATGCAGAGAACAAATTTCACTGTGTGCTCTGCATGTGTGACCATTAAAGAGGGTTTCATCCCTCCGATTCTATCTATCTATCTATGAGGGACTTAAACTACATAAAGTCGATAAATTAAAAGCTAATTCTGATTAAGGACTGACCGTGACCCATCTCAGTTTGGGCATATGTGCCCAGGGCCTGGAGGGACTCTGCCAGAGGTAACCACTTCCTGGCCTGCTCAGCTATACAGGGTGGGTAGGAACATGGCATAGTGGACTCCAAAGGCCCATTGTTGGTGTCCTTGAACCATACTGGGTGAAGGGGAGGTATAAAGATACACAAATTCGGCTCTGACTGGCTGTCACTCAAACGTTGTGTATATGATGGATCTGCTGACTCATCATGTTGTGGAAGCGCTGGCGAACATTGAATTTTAGGTTTAAGTTTAACTCACCTACTCAATTCCGGTACTTGCAGAAACAATGAACTATCTAAAGCGTCACGTTGTTTAGTTGCTATAGTTTGTTTCACATCACTCTTAAATTTGATTCTGTAAATGACTTGCAGTAAACGTTTATTATTTCTGACTCTGCAATATTACACTACTTGTGTGCCTAAGTGGCTTCACCACTGTTACCGCATGATTATAAGGAAAAGTAAACAAGTAACAAAGAAATTAAAAGGCTCAGATTGAGATACTTCATCATTAATTCTGGATAAAGTCGGCCCATTATTTACATTGCCTTTAAGAGGTTCTTTCTGGAAAATAATCACATTTTACTGGGACTAACATGGGACAAAGGGATCATTTTAAAACACCCACAGCATAAAATGAAAGAGGCTGACAGGAAGCTTTGGAGTTTAGGAGCACAGGACAATGTTGTCAGAACGCGCATGCGACTACTTTTGAACTGTTGATATCATTTCGATCTGTCAAACACATACAAAGATCACCTTAAATGCTCCTGGTACTAAATTAAAGGCTAATTCCAGGACTGACCATGACCCATCTCAGTTTGGGCATATGTGCCGATGGCCTGGAAGGACTCTGCCAGAGGTAACCACTTCCTGGCCTGCTCAGCGTCACACTGGCTGTACAGGGTGGGTAGGAACATGACAAAGTGGAGCCCCAAGGCCTCATGGAAATTGCCTTGAACCATTCTGGGTGAAGGGAAGGTACAGGAAACAACTTGCGTTCAGACTGGATGTCCCTCAAACGTTGTATAACTAATAGATCTGCCGACTCACTTTGTTTGAATTCTATGTCTAAGTTTATCTCACTCATGCTACTATAAAATGTAATTCAGTTTTGAACTGGAGGAATTGTTCGTCCTGTTCCTGTTGTTTAATTACTAAGTCCAGTTTTACAATGATTTACTCCTCAAGAGGGCAAGCAAAGTACAAGAGGTGCTTTTGTAATTCAAATCTATCCTTTTTACAAGACACAGCATAAACATACAATATGTTGACAGAAAGCTTGGTAGTTTAGGAACAAAGCACAATGAACATTTAACCAAATCTCTAAAATAGCAATATAACAAGTGATAATCTTTGACATTGTTATGCTGCAAACAGTTGACCTTTGACACAGTTGTAATCTTACATTGAACTTTGATCAGCCTACATTTATTTCCCTCTATGCCACATACACTGATATTTACATAACCTTACAACTTTTCCCCAAAGCGATACAGAATGCAAAGCCTTCACAAAATGGTTGTTCAGTTTTCTAATGTGCACACCGATGTTCCCTAAAAGTCTCATATACAGGCTGATGCCACGATATATCATGTTCAGTGACTTCAAAAATCCGCCTGTAGTATAAGGCTACGTCTCTGCATTACGATCGTTGTAGCTCACAGAAACATCACTTATTAAATCCATAACTTCTTTCTGTGGTAACTAGGATTTAGATGTTGTTTTTTGTTTGCGCTTTGTGACAAACAAGAAACTCAACAATCAGTTACCTGTATTTTAAATGTGAAATGGTAGTATATAAGCCAGGCATTGTTGAATCGCATATTTTTCTAGCCTAGTTAGCTATTATATATTATTATTGTTGGGGTTTTTCATTTTAAAATGCATTAGCACCTGCTATAAACATACAGTCCCCTGTAGGTCCTGTGCTGTGCGTTATTGTGGGTCAGTAGCTGCATATAATTGCTGTTATAAACATAATAACGTCTTGTGTGGTCTTTAAAACAAGTATGATAGTTGTCAAATATTAGCCTTCCCTAACCTGAGCCTCCCCCGCTGCCTATGATTGTATAGCATGTAATATGTCAGCCACTGACAAATTGCAAACTATTGATACTGACAGTATCCAAATAAGGTCATTGAAGTTTGCTTGAGTATAAAAGTATATTCAAATAGTACATATTGTAAAATATAGCGTGTGGAAAACAGGATTTCATTGTTCATCACTTCCTTCTATTACATTTGGATTGTAAATGACTAACAATATGCATTTCTTATTTTTGACACTGCCATGTGATAAATTAATATCATTTTATTATATTCTTTATTTATGTTTCTTGATTATTCTAAAATACATGAATACAGATTCTGGTTAAATGCCTGCTGACATTGCTTGCTAGACATGATTTTAGTGATAAAAGGGCACATTAGTAAATCTCCACAATGTTCATTTTGAGGTATTATGAAACACAGTTTTTTTCATTTAAGTCAAAGCCCTTCATTTGTAATACTTAAGATCTGTTTTTTTCTTCCACTTAACACTTTCCCATAGGCCTTTTGTGTCCGACTACCCTTGACTGTGTTGAGGCTTTTGTCCGCCAGCTTATCTGGATCTACAGTATGTAAGCCAGACCTCACATGGACTCATCTTTACCACATACTTTTTGTAGCAGTAGATCTCCTCTGGGTCTGCAATGCCATACTCTCTGAGCTTCAGGATCATCTGGGCACTTTTTCTAACAGCCTGGTCATAGCGGTCACTTCGAGACAGGAAGTTAGGGTCCTCCTCGTTAAAGTCCGGGTCGCTGAAAACCAGTGACTCTACATGGTGGGAAAGGAATCAGAAATGTTTATTTAAGTATACACATTCACTGTAGTGTGTAGAATATATTTCACTTTTTTTTTTAAAGTGTAGTGGACATTTTTAAAAGTCCATTAAGAATTTGTGAGTGTGTCCCCTCGTGTGACTCTTTGTACGAAGATATGCGAGTGTGTATCAAGATTTGAAATGTGTAATGAGAAAATAAGTATGTAGATTTGTTCAAAAAAATAAACATCAATTTATATTATTATTTAAGGTCCTAGTAGGTTTCAATACAACTTTCTGCACAACAATACAACTTTCAGCACAACAATACAACTTTCTGCACAACAATACAACTTTCAGCACATTTAGGTCCAACTAAATGTACAAATAAATGTAAAATGTGAAGAATGAAATAGGATTCTTATCTTAAAACTCACCTGTTCAGATTAGCCTACTCACTCTAGCATTAAACATCTGGTTTGCTCATTTAAATACTACTGTCATGTCCTTCCACATCTGTCTGCTTTTAATCTATTGTCCATTTTGTTTTGTCTACCTGTATGCATTTTATGTCTTGCTGTTAGAGTATTTCTTTTATTAATTGTAAGGCGACCTTGGGTGCCATGAAAGGCGCCTCGAAATCAACAGTATTATTATTATTATAAAACATACCATATGTTTTTCTTTGCTACCTACACTGCTAGTATGTTCTGCCTGAAAAAAATTAAGTAGCGTAAAGTTCACTTGTTCAAAAATGGGTGAAAATTACATAACTGGACTCTAAACTCATATATTTCAGTTTATATAATGAAAAAGTTTAGTTCAGTCTGGACAACTACAACGTAGTGGTTGTAGACAGGAAAGCTATTAGTAAACATCCATTGAAATAATTAGCTCCTTTTACTCCTCAATAAAACGTTCTCAGGAAACATCCTTACATAATCATCATATAAAGGTGACGGTGTCGAGGTCAATAACACGTGGGCAAAAATTACACTTCAAACTCACCAATCTCTCGCCGTCTTTTGGTCTTTTCAGGCCCCCCGTCCAAAATGTACGTCAGTTTCTCGACGTCAAAAGTGGCATTTTTGCGCTCTCTCGTAATATCAGGATTCATGGTTCGGAATGCGAGTAAAAACAATATTTATATTGAAAAACCTGTTATGTTAGCTGTGTTGTAGAGCCTCCTGCAACCTCAACAACCTGAAGTGTCCTCCTCTTCACAAGGCCTCTTATTCCCACAACGCATGCGCAGAGAGGAGCGGGGAGGAGGAGACAAGTAATGTGACATGAACCCGGAAGTAGGGTATCCAAACTTTAACAGGCTTTATTGCCATGCTTTATTGTCATTATTCAACCATTTCTGAGTTTTCTTTCCAGTATGCTTCCCGCAGCTGCAGTTTTTCATTTCCCCTGGGAGATAAACAGTGGAGAAGTACAAGAAGGACTGTCAGTAAGACTACTTGGCAGGTGGGTTTTGTTTCTGACAGACTCTTATCAGTTGTGATGCTCTGAATGCAAAACAAAATGTGTATTTTGCAGCACATTTGTTTGGTACTGTTCACTCTTCTGAATGGGATTAGGAACAGTGGTATTAGTAGCAATGCAGGTTTCAAAAGTGAGATTATATTATTATTTAGATCTGGTGTAAAGTAAACTGAATGGAGAAAAGGTTTTGTAATCTTATTTCTTTCCGTTTTCACAGTAAGAATAAACATTTCAAAAATCTAAAAAGGGGTTTAGTCTGTCTCTAGTGTATACTGTTCTTTATGGTGGACACCTTGTTCACCTTTTTATAAACAGAATAAACCATTTTAAAATTCAAACATGGCCTAAGTCTTCGTACTCTATTCAAATCTGAACCCAACATTTAAAAAAGGATTATTGGTGAAAATGCATGCTTAGAATATCTTGTCCTGACCTCAAAGTCTTCCTTATAAAAGAAAGTACACTATGGAAATACAGCAAAAGTGTTGTTGAGTGTAGTTGTAGCCCGTCAGACTACTTTATGGGGTGCAATCTATAATAATGCATCATAATGTATAAGATGATCCTATTAAATGTAGCCTTTAGATAAAATAATACATCTTAATACACCTGTTCAATTTTCCAGACTGGTCTGCTATCAGCCTGAGGAGTCCAGAGCCACGCTGTCGGCTCAGCATGCTTCAAAAGAGCACCAAGTGGTCGTCCACACGTTGTTTGTTGAGCCTTTTAACCCAATAATTGGGGCCCAGTATATTGTTCTGGGTGAGATTGAAAATGCTGAGGGTAAGTAAATCCATCCATATCCATCTCTAATCCATCAAATTATAAATTAGATTTTTATACCAGAGTTTCTGTTTTTCTTGAGTCCATGTATTTTTCAAAAAATAAATTGACTGTCTATCTGGAAGAAGTATAGTGGTAGTATATAGTATATGTAGAAATGTATACAATATATTGTATGAGTATTATAGGATTTATGATATGTTATGGGACACTACATTCACTCTAACAGTGTAAAGATATTTATTATTGTATTATACAGCTATCTTATAGAATTGATGTGTTGAAATAGAGCTAAAATCACAACTCTTTAAATACTTGTGTTTGTTTATCTCTATTTCAATTACACTCTCATTAATTTCATTGTATCTTGTCATTCATAACATAAAGGAGTCTTGGTCTCTGCATCTTCTCTCCTTATAGGGGTTGGTGCGATGGTCCGTGCCCGTGTGCTAAACTGCGTTGATGGTGTAAACGTCGCCCTTCTACAGAAAGCCACCAATGAGCAAAGGAGCTTCTTCAGGGAGAGGGAGCACACACCGGGTGATGCTGAACAAACTGCACATGCAACCTGATCAGGGTCTCCTGACTTTCTAAGGATGCTCGTTGAGTATCAGGATTACTGCTCTGCCTCTGAAGCTGTTTGCTAAGTAAACTTTTGGTTCACTGTAAAAGACTATCTTTTCTCTCTCTGACCATAACAGGTAGTTCATTCTGGGGTTTGCTAATTGGTTATTAAGGCCCTAATGAAGGGATTGGCAAGATGGTTTGATGTTTGGTCAATGAAGAAATAAAAGCAACTGTTTTAGATCCATTACTTATGACAGGTGCAATAACCTATGTGTTGAAACATCTGATATTATTTTAATGCTACCGTTTTATATGGTGGGACTGAGCACTTTTTTTTTACATGCTTTGAAAATGGTGTCATGTATTGGTCATGTTAGTTAGATAACATAACTTTGTTCCACTCATTGAAATACAGAGGTGGGAAATTGTGGAGTAGAAATACTCACTGTACTTAAGTATATTTTTCTGGTATCAGTACTTTACCCCACTACTATTTTTCTGACGACTTTACTTTTACTTCTTACATTTTTAACACAAATACCTGTATTTTCTACTTCTTACATTTTCAAAATAGGCTCGTTACTTTAGTTTTAATCTGCATTTGGTGGTGTGATCATTATTATTAGTATAGTATCCATCATTTCCTGGTTTTCTCTAAAGAAGAGGGACCAATGAGAACTTTGTCATTTTGCCGTTGTTCAGCATCGAAACATTCATTAGCTAACAATGACATTATTGTTCTATTAATATAAAGGGAGGTCAGTTACTTCTATATCTGTATCTGTACTTCTACTTGAGTAAAGGATGTAATACTTTTGCCATCTCTGTTGAGATATCAGAAGTTTAAAAATGTATACTGAATTATAAATACTAAGCAATCCAATTGAGCACATTGTACTAAGTAAATATATAGGATATCCAAATAGGAGGAAGCTGGTATTACATTAAAAGTAAATGATGAATACCCGTTGTACCTGCCTGTGTCTTCTTAAAAAAAATGCAACTCAACACTGAAGGTCCATGCTTCTTAACAATTATAATTTAATTTATTGATATTTGTTTCTTCATAAAGATTGAGTTTAAAGTCAACAATGTCAAGGATAACCAATGAGTAATACAGAATCAAATCAATCTTTATAATTAGCATTGCACCATGTCCCATTATCCCTCATAACACAATAATATCAAAGATATTAGCAAGCATTTTGGCTAGGGAGAAAGCATTGCATTAAAAGACTTTTCCTGAGTCAAAATGTACATTGTAATTATAATATCTAATAGCAGATTTTTTTATCACATCACTCCACAGATCAGATAACTCCAACTCTGTTGTAAACACATCTAGAATCTTGCATATCTAGTAGAGTTGTCACCAGAATCTTTAGAGGAGGCAGACAGCATTGGTAGGCCTGAGACGGGGTCTTTCTTACAGCTATCCAGAGCTTGTTTGTAGTTGATCTTCTTCTTTGTGATTGGGTCTACAATATCCTTGTGGTATGTCGTCTCAGCCTGCAGCTCCCTCATCATTGTGCTGTCGATCATTTTGGACCCAATGGCATCAAAGAGGCTCATTCTGCTGCCGGTAGTGGGATTGACCAGCCCACCCGTCAGGTGCTGTGCCTCCATGTAGCGGATGGCCGTGTCCTTGGGCATCCAGCCTTTCTGTACAGCTTCTCCCACGGACAAAACCTCTCTGGTCATGGGGTCTTCAACACCAGTGAAGGCCTTTTGTGCATTGAGTAGCCTCTGGACTTGACTGTCCTCAATGAGGCCTCTTGATGTTGCCTTCTGAACTGTGTATCTCTGATTGTTGCTTATGTCGATGATGCCCCCTGTTGATGCCTGTGCCTCCAGAAGTTTGTGGGCGGTTCCGGAGTCGATCAGTTTACGCAAGGTGGCGCTGCGAATTGTAAAGCAGGTGTCAGTGTTTGTGTCTATTACTCCAGCAACTGGGTAGATTTCTTTAGCGGTGGAGAGGTCCCGGGGGGCTGAATTCACTGTTGTGGAGGTTGTGTGGGTGATTGAGTTGAACTGGGGTGGCTTATTGTTATCACCCGCAACCAGCAAGGCAAACTCTGAGATGGGCATCTTGCCTTTTTTATACTGTTGTAGATCATACTCTGTCAGGCGGCCTTCCTTCAGGGCATCTTTGATTGGGTACTGCTTTCCACTTTTGCGATCTTGGAGTACAGATGTCTCCCCATCAGGTCCCAGGGAAGTAACCTCCTCCCAGTCACACTCCAGTTCCTGCAGGTTTATGTACTGTTGACGATCAATCAGGCCCTGCATGTAGGCGTCATAAGGGGACATGTCTTTGCCTGTATCTGGATCTAGAATGGTGATTTTGGTAGACACATTGGTCTCTTTGGTCCTTGTCTCTGCTTGTTCCTCTTTCTGCACGTTCGTCAGGAGCTCCCGCATCATGCTGTCTCGCTGATGGATTCTGTCTTTTTCTTCCAGGATCTCCCTCTCCAGACGTTGAGCATCAGAATCCATCTTAAGGCTCTTCTGCCTTCCCATCTGTGATCTTTCACTAATTAGCCTGCTTTGCTGCTGGAAAGACAAGCTGATGTCATGTCTTGAGGCTTCGAGGGTCCTGAGTTCCCGAGTGAGGTTTTCTTTCTCACTTTGAAAGACATCTTTGTTCGAAACAAGAGTGGATTCCTCTATTGAAGAGCTTGATTTTCCGCTCATCAGAAGGTTGATTTTAGCGTTGAGACGTCTGATTTCCTCTTCAAGGTCTTGTCTGGCAAATCTTTGCTGAGACATCTGTTCCCTCAGGTGATTCCTCTCGGATTCAACTGCCTGGTCTTTCTCAACACGGATAATCTCTTTGTACACTGTCTTCTCACCAGACTTTTCCCTCTGCAGGATTTCTAGCTTATGAGTGATGTTACGGATGTCTCTCTGGATGCGCAGAATATCGCTGGTTTGCTTATCCGTGTCTGACCGAACACCGTTTGTCATCCTCTCCAGTTTTGGGTCTCTTTCAACCTTCAGTATTTCCTCAACAACAATACATTCCTCAACGGGAGGGGGGGCATTTTCAAGATGTGTGATGCACAGTCGGATCTCTCTGAGTTCAAACTCAGCTTGAACCCTCTTTTGGTGCTCATCACTCTCTCTGAGGATCCTCTGTAACTCTTCCACCTTGGTCGTCAGCTGCTGCATCTCGAGGTTAACCTGGCGGCGGGTCATTACTTCGTCATCCAGGCTCCTGCTGAGCCGATCATGCTCGAGCATCTGCCTTGGGTCCTTCTGTAAACGTACAACCTCATGCATAACTACCTTCTCCTCAGGCTTTTGTCTCTCCAACAGGATGTACTTATTCTGCAGATCAAACACCATCTCTTCAGTGTTGCGCCGCAGCTGTGCCTCCTCCCGCCCAGCTCTTCTTAGCCGGTCAGCTTCTTTCTCCAACAGAGGATCAGGTTCATACTTGATGACTTCTCTGGTGACCACTTTTGTCTCTATCTTGGACTTCTCAGTTTTCCATTCATCCCTTTCCTTCCTGTGGAGTCTCACCTGGTCCTCGAGGGAGTTGGAGGTGTTCTCCAAATAGTTCACCTGATCAGTTAGCCTCTGAATCTCTTTCTCATTTTCAGGACTTCTTTCCTCCCTAACCACCTCTTGAAGGACTTCCTTCATCTCCACCTTGGGCTTCTCAGAGCGAAGGGTGTACACATTAGTCGTGACCGTGGTGATTTCTCTTTCCATGTCAGAGCGCTGCTTGGTGGAGTCTTGTATGTCTTTCCTGAGCCGCATTATCTCCACCTCTGTGCTCGGGTCTATACGGTAGATCTCATTGACGATTTCCTTCACCTCGACTTTTGGCCTCCAGCCTTGAACATCTCGGTAGCGAGTCTGGAGCTCCAAAAGCTCTTTGGACAAAGAATTGTTTTCAATCCTTTGTTCCTCAATGCTTGTTTGAACCCTCTTAGATTCATTGATGAGCTCTGGGTCTTGTTCAATCCTTTTCACTTCCTTGGTGATGATCTTAGGCTGGATGTTAGGAATCAGCCTCTCAAGAGCATTAATCTGGCTCCTTGTCTGGAAGATTTCATCATTGATGCGCTTGGTACTCTTGTCCTCATCAGAAATTTCCGTCTCAAATGTCCGCACTGATCTCAACATCTGTGGGTCCTGTTCCACTTTCACCACTTCCTTCTTAACTATCCTCTCTTTGATGGTTGGTCTCTTCTGCTGGAGAATCGTCACTTCTGTGCTCATCTGAACATGTTCCCCATCTCTTACTCGAATTTCATCTCTCATCCTGGCTATCTCATCTCTAGTCTTAGTGGCCTCCACGTCCAGCTGAGGATCTCTCTCAAACTCGGTCACCTCTCTGGTCAACAGTTTTGGTTTAGTACCTTTGAGTGTTTCCTCAAGGATGGTGATTTTCTTGTTCAATATCTCAACCTCATTGTGGGTGGTGCTACGCCTGAGGGACTCTTCATGCAAGGTTTTCTGCAGATCGACCAAATCACTCTCCAGTTTTGGGTCGCGATAGTACTGCAGTACTTCTATCTCTTCAAGACGCTGCACTCCTCTGCGACTCTTCAGCGACATCATCCTCTCTTTATAGGTTCTCAGCTCTGTCTCGGTACGAGTTGTCCTATCTCTCTCTTCGTCCAGGTCCTTCATCAGACTGCTGAGCTCAAAAGAACTCCTTTGCTGGCTTTCAAGCTGCACGTGTTGCTGTGACACCATTTGGACTTTGTCTTCATTCTGAAGCAGAGAAGCAAATTCATTTAATAAGTTAAGTGATTTGTTTTTGTGATAAGCTTTAGGTTGTTTTATGAGAAGCATATTTCATAGCAATGGGTGTTTTATGCCCTGTTTTCTTACTTGTAAAATAAGATTCTTAGTCAAACCCATCTGTTTTTGGCGCTGGGTATTTTCAGCTGTTGCTTCAGCGTAACAGTTGACCAGATCCCTTTCCTGTAATAAACAAGAGTGGCAGCAAATATGTCAGCCACCTTGATATATTAATAATAATAATTTACATTGCGTAAAATAAATCTAAATGTTACCTCTTTCTGAACAGAATCAGCCAGAGTGATTATACGAGGTTTCTTGGCCACAGTGGCGCCAGCATCCTCGAGTGTACTGTTGTATTTGTCAACATTGGTCTCGTATTCCTGCATAGATGTGAAGAAAACATCATTTATTCACTTGTCAAGTATTCTAATATTTAATAACCTTGTATTATAATGGGTTTGACACTTACATTGAGTAGACCCTGCAGGTCTTGAGACAGGTCAGACACTCTGTCAATGTCATCTCCCTTCCTCTTCAAGTCATCCACCACCCTCTGTGTGAAACAATTTTCACATGTTAATCACTGTAATCAGTTAATTATATTATATAATATTTTACAGATTTACATATAACACAGCACATGTTTGCATGAACCACAGACTCACCTCTTGGGAGCTCTGCTTGGCAGCGACCTGCGACAGATCATCTTTGAAGTCGACCTTGTTTTGCGGCAGGTTGTCCAGGAAGGACTTCAGGGATTTGGATGTGCTCTGGAACTCCTGGTTCTTGGTTGAAGCTTCTTGTAAGAGGTTTTCTCTGCAATAATGAATCAATATGACAGAAGATTTAAAAATAACTGTGTAAAATAACTGCATTAATGCACTTAACATTACAAGGTTTTGTTGTCTTCTGTGCCATTTCCTAAAAAGAATCACATCTGAGCTATATTTAACACATACCTTTGCCTGATTATTTAATCTTACACATCAATTCATTTGCATAGGGCTTATTACAGTATATAGCCTACTGCATGTGTGTAGTGTAAAGGTAAGTAACCATTTTATTTGCAAATAAATGGCCTGTTTGAGTTTGAGTTATTAACAAAGCAGAAAAAACAAACTTCAAATCAAAGTATAATACTGTTTTTTTTTTTTTTATCTGTGCATAGTATACACAATAGCATGGGCAAACCTCTCCAAGTTGTTGTTTCATTGTAGTACTTCTATAGGACTAGAGATGCAAAACTACCAGCATTTTTTAAAAGGAATTTCTATTTCAAATGAAGCAAAAATATGTGTATCATAAGTAAGTTTTTTATTATTTTGTGTAATGGATGATGACATTTGATATCCTTTTCATTATCTTTTATCATGCCACTCCTTTGGGCTGATTTGATGTCGTTTTTTTTAACCATCTGATTCTCACCTCTCCTTCAGCTGGTTGGCCACATTCCCGTAACGTGTCTGCAGCTGCTTGACCTCTGATCTCTGGCTGCGGATGTCCGGGCAGTACTCTTGGTATCCCTGCTGCAGAGAGCTGCACAGCTGCTCTGTGGTGTCCAGATCCTGACTCAGCTTCTTCATGTCGTCCTGAGCCGCTGCCACAGACCTGCGCTGGTACTGAAATACAGCAAAAGAGACATTTCTGTCAAATATAAGTTGAACCTTTGAGGAAGAGAAGTGTCTTTTATGTGGATGTAACATTTTAATGCAGATTTCCTTACCTGGATGTCATCAGCGCGGGCTTGGATTGCATTCGGCACGTCCGGGATTGGATTATCATTACTCAGATTTTTCTCAAACCCAGAGATGAGGCTGTCCACCTTCTTAATCTGGCCCTCCAGGTTAAGAGACGCATTTGCTCTAAAAAAAAAAAAAATGTATGTCATTATGAGTGCTATTTTAGTTCAGTAGAACAGCTCTGACAAGAGACAGATGTACCCATTTACAAATGTGCCATGTGTTAATAATATCAGATGTTCTCTATTTATTCATTGTATATTTGGAAGGTCAGGTTTTAAATTGGAGTTTTAACCGGAATAACAATATATTTTCCTTACAGACAAAACCCCTCCACCATGACACTGTGTAAATGTCATTTTCCAAACAAAACATGCACTTACTTCTTGGTGTAGAGGTCAGCAAGTGCTGACATGCTGTCGAACTTGTTGTTTGCACCACTCAGTTTGAGTGGCAGCTGAGAGGAGCTGGGGTCTTTGGAGAGCAGCGGCTGCATGTCCGCCTGAGCTGCCAGCTTCTGCTGCTCCAGAGACTTCAGAGCCCGGGCAGCTTCCTACAAGAGACACATAAAGATACTTTAGACATTTGTATAATGCAAATATCAAATACAATACATCAAATCCTCTAGGGTTCCTTCTTCAAACAAATGTCTACAGTATAACAATATAATCACCAGGAGTAACCTTAAAAAGGCACACGACTGATGGAATTTGGTAAATAAGAGGTATTTCACCTAAATCTAAAGAGCCGACAGAGATACAGTAATAAAGGCAGAAACAAGCTAACAGGAACAATGTCTGTGGCTTTATTTCTCTCACCTCCTGTTCCCTCAGCCTCTTAGCCAGATCTCCGGCCGGGTCGCTGCGGTTCAGCGGGGTTCGCAGGCGGCTCAGCATGCTCTCCTCAGCGCTAGCCAGGTCACCGTCCAGCTTGTCCAGCTGCTGAGACAGAGCCTTCACTTTGGGATCCAGTGGGGCAGAAGACACTGGGGCTGAAAGAGGAAACAAAGACGTTTATTGCCTGATCTGACTTTGAGACGTTTGTAGACGTATGCTTTGATATATATTTGATCGCCTTTGATCACCTTGGAGGCATGCAAGAAAAACAAAGTTTTCTTGAAGAATTAAAGCAAAGTAATTGATATACAAAATTAAATTGAGGATGTTTAAGGTTTTACATCTGTAGACAATTACCTGATAGTTGGGACCTTGAGAAATCTGACTTGTGATTCTTCAGCGACGCAGCCAGAGCAGCTCTTCTCTTCTTGATGTCTGCCAGATCACTACCCAACCTAGAGAATACAAATACAAAGTAAATAGAAATAGTATTACTGAGATATTCTTGCTTTGTTTGTTGTAGACGCACAAAAATAAAACGGTGCTTTACTTACAGGTCCACTTTGTCAATGGCCTCTGGATCAGGTGGGGGGATCTGGAAGCAAACTCCTGGGAAGGTTTTTGTTGCCCCGTCCGTGGAGGTGACGTCCCAGTTGTCGTCTGAGTTGGATCTCAGGGTGAACTTATTGCCTTTTTCCAGGGAATCCTAGATGGTGATGAAAAAATATTAAATAAAACACATGCCCAAAAAGTGTACACAAGTTGTGTATGAATAACATGTCTGAAATTAAACACTTCAGCTTTGGATATGGCCTTTCTTTGTTCTATATCTTTTTAAGTAACCTCCGTATGTGTCAATTTTAGTACTTGTATTCACTTTTCTTTGAAAGATTTCCCTGGTATATTGACTAATCTGCAGCACTATGTGACAATCTGAGGTGAAGAAGCTGCACCTTATCTGTCTCCCAGTCACACAGGGACTCCACTGTGATGGGCCGGGTGGGGGCGTTGCGTCGCAGCTTCAGAGGAGCAATGGTGGTGCTGCTTCTCCTAAGGTCGGCCAGCAGCTGTTCGCTGTTCTGAACAGCATTCTCCTCCGCCTGGTGGGGAACAGACACAGAGGAAAATCTTAATATCTTAAAAATAATCATGAATTGATAGATAGTAACAAATCCTCATTTTATTCCATCATCCTAGAAATAAGACTGAATGAGTGTACTTCAGACATGTGAGTGTCAAAAACAATATCAAAATATCCTACATAATGTATATTTCTATGTTTTCAAACTTTGAAAACATTACCAATGACTTTTTGAGCTTGACTTATTAAGAATTAATCTCTTGGGGAGTTGATGAGAGAGAGTAAGTAAAGTGAGTGTGAGTAAGAGTGCTAAGTGAAAAGCAAACCCTCTTTAAAATGAAAATAAAGAAATTCATATTTATTTTGTCTGCTCTATATTAAAACTGTACCTCCAGCTGTAGCAGCGTCTCTGAGTTGCTCTTCTTGCTGATGGCCTTGGGGTCCAGGTTGTTGTTGAGTTTGGTCAGCGTCTCCGACAGCTGCTCAGTCTCCATTTGGTACTGGAAAATCAAACAAAAAACATAGTTTTACCTGGATGCGTCACACTACATACATACCCTCTCACACGAAAATGAATAATGTGTTATGATGAGTTGTGGTATATGGTGTAATATATGTACCTTTTTGTATTCCTCCAGACTGTCCAAGTGTGTCTCTTGACAAATGCAGAGGTTGAGGAATTTCTGCCACTCGTTTCGAACAGCATCTCTCTGAGCCTGGAAGTGTGACAAAATGATATTGCTATCTTATTTTGAATTAATAATTTTTGTGTGGACATTAGGTTCTGATATATTGAGTGACACAAAAGAGAAATTTAAACTTTCTGTTTGAGAAATGTATCTGAAATAGCACATATTCTCATTTGAACTGTCATTACTTATTTAGTACTTATTTGAACATGTAAGGTCAGTATACCTGTAATGCAAAACAAAATCTCAAAGCTCTTCTGCTCTCATATCTTTGACTTTGACCTTTGAATCATTGCCTTTCCATTTGAAAGCAGTGTCTTCTGGGTAAATAGGCATACCTGGATTGTGTCACTGGCAGGGTGCTTCAATACAACAAGTCTTTCTCCTTCGTCCTGAAGTTTGTTCACATCGCTCTCGTGGGACAGCAGGCTGTTGTTCTTAAAGTTCTGATTGAGATCAAATAAAAAAGGTAGTAATGTTCGTGGTTATCAATAAATAGCTCAGTTTAGATTATTCTGGACAAGCAGCTTCAATCTGTGATTGCTGACCTCATACTGCCTGCGGACGTCAGGCGGGTCAACCATGCGGTCGCTCCAGTCCTGCTTCTTGATCTTATCTTGCTCTTCTTCCAGGAACCCCAGCTCCTTGTTACAGCTGTGCATGTACTGATACAGGCTGTTCAGGTAGTGGTGACGCCACTTGGAGTTGTCCTGGGAGAAATGAAATAAAACTCATTTAAACCTAAAAGATTCTTTAAAAATAGTTTTTTATGTCAAATATACAGTGTTTTGATTTCCCCCTCATTTAATTTGATGTTATTCTAGTTGAAATGACAAAATAAAACTAATAATATATCAGTTAGGGTGGCAAATACCTCAAAATTATTTTGTAATTTGGATTTTAACAAGGTGCTATTACAAAGAATGCATTTTGATGCATTAACAGAAAAATATACCATATTAAGTTTGTTGTTACATTGAAGAGAAAAGGGTTGTCTTTATGGCCAAAAAATACATATAAAACAACACAACTCACCAGTAGATTGTTGTATTGCCTTTTCAGGACGGTATATTTCTCCTAAAAGACAAGATAACAACATATAAGCCGCTGGAAACAGTTTTCCATCAGGACAAAAGAAGGCAAGCAGGACAGTAAATGTTTGTGAATATCATGTAAATGTGTTTCCATGTATTTTCACCTTGCTGCCTGCAGAGCTGATGCAGAGCTGTGAGCTGTAGGCCTCCACCTCTTTGTGCAGGATGTTGTGAGCAGCGACCTGCTTCTCCAGGTCCGCCATGGTGGGGCCGTACTCCTCCGCGTTCACTAGTTTCTGAAAGGACAAGATTAATACAGTTAATGGGATGTAAAGACAAAATAACCACCAAGAATAAGCATTTACAGAGGCTCTGAAGAACAGAGGAATACAATATTTCAAGCTTTGCTCTTTGGTGAGGTTACAATAACAAACAATGTTAAAACTGTTATCCTTTAAGATCAAAGGATTACATCAATGCTGGATCTTTAGACACCTTTGAATTTAAATGTTCAGTTTTAATCTACGTACTTGTTTCTGGTTTAAAACAGGCTCCCAGTCAATTCTTGGCATCAGCGACACGTCGTCCACCTGCTCAAAGATCTCACGGTAGAAAGTGCAGTCCTTCAACCAGCGCTCGTGGAGCAATAGGACGCTGACGACGCAAAGAAAAACATGACTCAACATTTGACAAAAGTGCAAAAGTATTAGCATCGAAATATACTTATAGTATCAGAAGTAAAGAGTACTCGGTCAATATGCAGAAATATCTCAGAATAATATATGTTCTTAGATGAATAATTAATGTTATGTTGTTTTGCTGCGATGTTGCAGCTGGTAAAGGTGGAGCTCATTTTAATTAGGTTTTATACCACTGGGTAGCTTTTTTAATAATAATTAATTAAGTGTTGAATTTATGTTTTTATTCATATTCTGACAAAGTTACTAAAGTTATCAATAAATGGAGTGACATAAAAGGCACAACCTTTGCCTCCAATATAAAGTGAAGATGTATTGATTAATAGGCATTACATGGAAATAAACAATTAGTACTAGCATAAAGTGAAAATGTAATCACTACACTTGATCAAAAAATGATCAATAATCTATTTTAATTTAACTTTGTTTAGTGTGTTCATTGTAAAGCATCTTGTATGCTGTCAGTGTCTTTAACCTACATCAAAGGTGTAAGTGCACACATGTCTCCTGTAGGCAGCTACATTGTAATTCCTCAGTGTCATATCTATCTGTCACCACTCACTCGCTCTCTATCTCTGTGGCATGCGGGTATTTGGACTTCTTGGCTTTGTCGACGTCGAGGAACAGATCCTGCAGCAGGCCCTCCGCCTCGCCCAGCTTCTCTGAAATCACCGCCTGGTGCTGAAAGGGCTGCTCCTTCTTGTCATTTTCAAAGTCCTGGAGGAAGAAGACAACAGTAGAATGGTTTATTTTAGAGAAGGCTGCATGTAGAAGTGATATACAAGTTTGTGTTGGTCTGTCAGTGTGTGTCCTCACCATAACCAGCAGCTCTTCGGCCCGGAGGATGTCTTTCTCCACTGTGTCGGCATTCTTTTGCATCTGAGCGATCAGCAAGGCCAAGCTGCTGGTCTGCATACTGGCGGAGGGGGGGTCACAGATTAAATCACAGAAAACAATAGGAGATATGACATTTTCTCAGTGTTTCCCATCTCATGCTCCACATTCACTCTAACAGTCCCATGCCCTCATTTTCTGAATGTCAAGGATAGACAATTATCTCATAAGTTAAAGCTCCAAATTGAAATAGACTTTCAAGACAAACAGCAAAACTAGATGGAGAGTAACTAGACCAGGTATTAAAAATGTTTTGTACAAAGCTTACATTAACATCTTACATTATGAACTAAAGAGCCAACACATGTTTAAGACTATAATGTGAAAACATGTTATTAAAATGTCAGGGCAGAGGCAGCTTTCTTTTGATCTGTTTTATTCTTTTCTACTGTCTGTCTGATGCCAGTCTTTCACACAGCGTCTCTGTCGTAGAGTCAGTAAGGAGGAAGTGTATTTCCAGGTTCCCTAAATGCTAATCCTTCCACAGCAGCATACTATGTTTGTCCCTGTTTGTGACCCTCAGTGTGGATGCCACTGAGAAAAGGTAAAGTGATGCCTCTCACAGATAAAGGGAGGTGGGGATCCTACCGGCTGGCAACGAGAGATGAACTACGCCCATAAAACTAAAGGAGGTCTATGTGTGATTTGGAGCAAGCTATATAAATAAGGTTAACACAGGATGATGTTACAATCTGAAAGTTTATCTGAAGCTTTGTGAGCTAAATATCAAAGTTACTGATGGTTAATCAAATCAAATCATCTGCAAACGCGGAAGTCTAATGAGTTTAAACAAGGCACTGTCGTGAGCTTTGTGGTCCAATGAAAATCGCTCATTCAATTAGGCTGTTGTCTCTTTTATGTTCTAAAAATATAAAGAACATGTGTGTAACATGGGCCACGAAAGAACCCATACAATTTGTTTTACACTTTCATAAACATTGAGTGATTGCATTCGGCCTTGGCAGAGGTCATCTAATGTGAAGCTGATTTTTGGATATGAGTGTAAAAGCATGTTGTGAGGATGTCAAGGACTTTTACTAAAGGAAATCAGTTTTTGGAAGCTAATGTGAAGTCACAGCTGCAAAATAAATAATTTAAAGGACATTTTACATGTTAAACTCCTGCTTTTCTGCCTCAAATACTACTACTACTTTTAGACTACAGGGCTGATTTTACATCCGGAAAATACTTCATTCACGCACTTCTGAAATAACACTGATGTGTAACACAGAAACAAAGAATGTTGGCTACGATCCCGCAGGTTATTTTACACACAGGCCAAAGCTACCTTGGCGTTCAAAGTTGTTACTCCTAGGAGAGAAAGCAAGCGAGTGTCATACAGAGTAGATTTACAATGGCTTAAATGGCATTTTGCAGAGCTCTTTAACGATGAAGTGACAGGAATGCAGCGTTTCTCCTCCTGCTCCGAGCTGCCAGCTGATCTGGTTCTGCAGCCGCTCTCACAATGGCCGCCTTATTCCTGCTCACTCAGCAGGAGAGACAGGTACGTGCTGTACACACAGTACATGCACACACAGTACATGTACTCAATAATTATTGCTCAGCTTTTGAGAGTGAACAACTAAGATGACGCATTATTAGAAATATATAATATTTTGTCAACTAAGAAAACTTAAAAAAGGGAAAGAAATGTCAAGAAAACAAATGTTGCTTCATGCATGACAAAACAAAATTCAATACAGTTGGTTTCTTTTGGTTAGGTGTAATAATTTGGTCATGAGGTTGACTTTTTTCTATCCAACAAACTGGGTGTGAATTGTTGAAGACATTAGTGGGATAAGTGAGGGAGGTTTGTCTGTCTCATCCATCTAGGCCTTCATCTTGACAGTCAGGAGCTGAATGATTGTATGTGTGTGTGTGTGTGTGTGTGTGTGTGTGTGTGTGTGTGTGTGTGTGTGTGTGTGTGTGTGTGTATATGTGTGTGTGTGTGTGTGTACTTTTTGCTTTCCTTGAATGCAGTATAGTCTGTTTTAAACCTTGAAGAGTAACTGCTGTTAGTGTAGGTTTTCTGTGAGCATTTCTGTCAGTAAACACTGTGAGTTTTTCTGTCTGTTTAATGTATTTATTGAGCTAAATGGCAACTTTAAAAGCCAATCAATGCACTAAACTATTAAATAGCAACATACAAAGTTGTGATAATTTACTAGTGAGTATTTGGTTGCATTTATGAATGGCCATCACAGGAAAGCTAGGCAGCTATGACTGAATTGACTTGAGAGTAGGATAACTGGATGACCCGCATAACTTCAAAGGGCTAGCCTGCATTTTTCTGTTAGTTGCAAGATTACAAAACTTGTACTACAAAAACACTCCCTGATTTCTAAAATGTTCTTACAGCTTACAGTTTATATTAGGATGTATAAATGTATGTTTTTTTAAGGGGCTTAAAAAACATAAACAATTTTAAGCCCACCAATCTCTCCCATTGAGATTGATGGGGTTTTTCAACACCTTTCACTTTACAAAATGGAATTTATTTTATTTACATGAACTAATTAGATAACTACACTTAATTAAATCCTCTTTTGACCTTGAGAGCTGACAGATCTCAGCCGTGGGCCATCGCTAGTGTCTTAATTAAATCACTTTGTCACCAACGGCATGAGCTGGCAGGTAAATGTGTTTGGTGCTTGTGAAACAGATCAGTGCTTTTTGGCATCATGTCATCTGCCGTTATGAAGCTACCAGCAAACACAGGCTCAGACACACGCAATGATTTTAACATTTCTGACACTAAAGGTGGATCTTTAAAGTGTGACACTGCTACTGGTGTAAAACATCAAAACCAAGTATTAGTAAAAACAACGTTAAATATTTGCTAGTTGATCTTAAAACGTTGGGTTATGAGACATGGTTTTCTTAATTTTCTGAAATATTATAAACAAAATATTGATCAATAGTTTGAAAGACTAATCCAAAAATGAATCAATATTGTGACATAAGTTGCAGCCCTTATTTACGGTGCCTCTATTGATTTAATTGGTGATGGAAACCTCCTTAATGTCCTGTCACTGTAAAGTACAGTTGGGAACCAACGCCCACATGAGAGAAAGAAACCAGCGGAGCAGCGACTCGCCCTGTCCTCCTCACACCTCACACAACATGTCCCAGGCAGCGAGAAGGTGAAACCATCAGGTCACCTCCACCCTGAGAAACCTGTCAGTTCTGTGACATCTGACAGGGACAATATGGGAAACTGTGAATAGTTTCAGCAGATGAATGTGTCTCCAGATGCTCTCTGTTAGCTAGTGTGTTTAAATGAGGATTGAAAGCTGTTATGTCAAATAAATCACATTAAGTCATGTAAAGGTAAGAGTACAAACACAAAATGAACACTCCACTTAACTTAAATGAGTACTGGACAGAGTGAAACCAGCTCATTATCCCTTTTTACCTGCAGTGATTTACATAAAGACAATTAAGTTTCTAGAGTTTTCTTTGAGTTTCTAGAAAAGCGCTATACAAGTCTCATGTATTATTAATGATCATTTTTGCTCTTAACTGTCAATATATTCCTCGTCAAATTAAGCTTTTTAAATACTTTTCTTTATGTTTTTAAGTTGCAGCCTTCTGCCTCCATCAACCACATTTAGAAACTGTTTCGAAACATGTGGTTTATTAGTGACACATATTTCTACATTTTGAACAGCAGCCTGACAGGACACAGAACAGCCAGATCAAACACTTCTCAGAGGATAGGTTTTCTCATTGAAACGTGATCACCAATAACAATGTTTTGCAAGCCGTCACAACTCTAAATCTCTTTGACTTTCACCTGCTTCATTAAACACATTTGTATTAGTTTGACTCATGTCTTTAGCACACTTTCCCACCTCATGTTTACAAAGTAAACCTGACATCAGGGCTCTGTTAACAGCCGGTAACACCTTGTAAAGCTTTCACCATCACAGAGGATTAACCTTCACATAACTCAGCACTTTAAGTCAGTGAAAAAACTGCCTGAGCAAACCTTTTCAACCACACTGTAACAGGAGGGGAACCACAACACTCGGAGGGAAAGAGGACCAGGAAACATCACACAGTTCTCTGTGACATGTTCAAGATACACACACACTTACATACTCTTATGTGCATTGCATACATTAAGGGGTTTACTTACTTGCTGCTCTTGAGCAAACTGTCCTTAGATTCCTTTTTCTTAAACATCCTGGAGGTCATGGTGGGTCAGGCACAGAGAAAACGTTTTCTCCTTTCTCTCTCTCCTTGCTTCTTCTTGGTCTGTGTTCCTCACCCTGTGGCTCCCACTCGCTCTCTCCTCTCCCTTTGGTTCCTCTCAAACACACACTCACGTCAGCACATTGTTTGACTCCGGCAGCTCCTCCCACACAGGTTAACTCACAGGTGTGTCACCGCCCAGACATCCACCTGCAGAGAGCGGACCGGACGGACCTGTTTCCTGCTCTCTCCCTTCCTCGGCCCTGCCCTTCCTTTTCATCACAATCTCTCACAGGGAGTCAACAGAGATGCATAATTCATGTGGCTAGAGGGACACTGAATTCCTGTAGGGGGTTGGGAATAAAACCCACAAGTAAACAGACTGATTTTTGATAATCAAGTTGTTCCAAATCTGGCAGATTGACAAACTGTATTGGTGTGTGTTGACAATCTAGGGGTCACTTTGTTGCATGTCTTCTATTTACAGTCACTATGTAATAAAGGTATTACATGCACCAATTTGCAACTCCATAGTATCATATCGAGTGGTAGGAAGTAACTAACTATAACGTACTTAAGTACAAATTAACAGTTTACCAATTTTGTTGGTGTAAAATCATGTTATAGTTGTAGCTTACCATTGCTGTTTTTCATTTAATTTAGTTGTTTTAATAATTTATATTTTCTGCAATGAGTATTATTATTCAAACGTCAAGTTTTTAATACAATACATTTTCCTGATTTTCCAATGCAGGATTTTTACATGTAATGGAGTATTATAAATATTTGTACTTAGATAAAAGATCTGAATACTTTCTTAACCACTGAGCATACCTCTGATTCAACCAATGGTATGAGAAGGCATATTCCTCTCCTATTTGGTAATACCGGGCGATACATTTAATTTGTCACGCAAAAAACTGATTCTGGATAAAAATATGATTTAAAAAAAATTGCTTCATCTTTTCAAATCCATAATAGCTGCACTTTCTCTGATTTGTTCCCGACTTTAATAATTGGTTACATCTATAATTAAATTATTCTAAAAGAAAGAAAGAGCTGTAGGGTGTGGTGGCGAGAAACACCCCTTGCAACAAATACCATAATATTTATTTTTAAATCACCATACAGATTCCCATCACTCCTTCCATCAAGGAGCTATTTGTTATCATCTTAAATAATGTCTTATACAGCAGACAGTAATGTCAGGCGTATTAGTTAGTGTTGTGTTAACCTTCTTATATTCTAATTGTTCCCACTGTGCTTTTATCCATAAAGATGAACCAGTGACTTCATACTCCTGAATGGGCCTTAATAGGCAAATATCTAAATTCAAATTAAATAAACGTATACAATGATGACATGTTTTAATCTATTTTCTAAGAAGAGGATAAGAAGAAGGGAAAATGTATTTGTTATTCCATTCAACCTGTTATAATTTGAAGTCAATGAGATGGTTAAGACCCGGACAGATACTCTCTGAGCTCCTAACACAATGTATACAGTCAACAATGGAAAGGTGTCTGACAACCTGTGGACTAGACAGGAAGTTCATTACGTCATACCTCCATATTGAAACACATGTTATAACAATGTTAAAGAGAAAATACGTCTCCATACTTTGCTAAGACCCATGTGTAATATCTATAGACACACGAGTCATTCAGGATCAGGGCGTCTCTCCAGAGCATATCAACAAAAGAAAATCATGGCGGCGAGGATTGCAGCCGGACAGCTTCCCTCGCAGAGAGAGAAACAACACAGAGGACACATTTCTGATCAGGACAGGCACACTCTGGGTGCGTCCACCTGTCTGTAAAAACAGATACTGTTGCTAAGATATGTGGACCCATTTTTAGCGAATAAATAAAACACAAACGGCTTATTATAATAAATATGTTTTCTTGGGTGACAATACATAATCCTCACAGGGTCCATTTGGTAGCTTTTCTTGAAATTGAAACATATCTTCCTCAGCATTTAGAGATTTCCCAAATATTATTGGATTATAGGTAAATGCTCTGACGCCTTTAAGGACCTCTTGTCCATATACAGGCCAGATACAGTATAATCCTAATTATTTACAAAACAAAAGCTCAATACCAGCTAGTTAATGAGGTGAGAATGTTTTATCAACTGCTGCCAATGTGAAAATAAACTGTAAATGTTAAACCAACTTGGGCAATAAAGGGATAAAAGGAAATTAGAAAATCTACAATTACCTGACAACTCCATCTTGTTATATGATCAAAAGCTCAAAAGCAGCAAAGAGATTATTTTTATGGTACCATCGTCGACCTCTGTCTCAAATGAAATGTTGTGAACATTGGAATTGTCTTGTGTATCAGCTTAAAGTTTAAATTATTTCCGTTATGTTTGTTAAAATAACCTCTCTGTACCCTCAGAAATGTAACTAAGAGCAATAAGAATCACATGGCAACATGAATTTGTAATTGCTAAAATCAGCATGATGGCATGTTCACGCTAAAAAATACCAACATGCTGATGGTTAGCAGACTGTTCACCATGGTACTACTATACTTTACAAATTAAGGTTTGTTAATTGCACTTTAAAAAATGTGCTGGTTTGAATGTTTAAAGATAATTGCGCTCAAGTGGGACTTCTCAGATTTCCATTATAGGGGTTAAGTGGTTGCAATCTGCACCCTCACGGATTGCCACTAATCATACACACCTTTACGTTTTTGAAATGTAATTAAAGTACTCGACAAGTTAGTATCTTGACTCGATGCTGCTGCTACATTAGAAGTCAGGATAATCAACTTGAGGGCGACATCATTATCTGAGCCAAAAGTTCATTATGATCGGTAACAAGGCAGCATCAAACATGGCAGTGAATTGTGTGCATGACTTCAGTTGAACTGAGAGTAAACAACAAAGGTGAGGGTGTGTCCGCCTCGTATACTTAACTACACACAGCGCACAAACACAGCATGGTTGTTGGGTTTACAGAGTCAATCCAAGAAGCTTTGATGCTTGTACTGTACCTTGGACTCAAATTACACAGTACTGACAATCTACGTGACGGAAATATGTAACAATTAAACGGAACATATTTTACTGATGTGTGAAAATATTAGGTTCTGTGTCTTTCATCTAGTCATCTGACAACATTTAATTAAGGTGTGAATAAACTGAAAAACTTGTAAAAGCATTGCGAAAGAGCTGATTAATTGAAACTTAAAACTGTTAAGAGGTTTCTTCCTGCAGATAAACATTTATCTCCACCTCCTCAAATACCTTCATTCCATCCATGCAGGTTGCATTTCTGCGTGTTTCTGTAGCGACAATGGTGTGTGTGTGTATATAGGAAAGTGATGACTATCAGGTAGAAAAGGCTTGATTGTGATCAAAAAGTTGAAATACACTTTTAACTGATGTGGGGACACAAGGTTATTAGTATGGTTGGTGATTTTACTTATAGTAATAAACACACCTATGTAATTAATATAAAAATGCATACGCAAATTAAATTGGAAAACGTTCACACCCTGCTGAGGCATCCCACGCACTCCTAACACACCCAAAACAAAAGGTGCAAGGGACTTCAAACAACTATTTTCTCCTCCATCATGGTCATCCAAATGTCACAGAATTTTCAATACAATAAATAAATATATAAATAAAACAAGAAATCAGCATTTGGCGCAAATATATTTTAATAATCAACCTGGAAAAGTAATCAAATCATACATTCTCATCAGTTCATGTCTCTTTCCACTTGTGTTTACAACAAATAACCATCTTGTTTTTTTCCAGGCCGATCGAGGTAAAGTGCTGGAGCTATTCCAGCACGACCGACTCATTATTTAACATAAAACATTTAAAGAAAAAAAAAATTAAAACCAAAGACATTGATAAAAATGAGTAAGCAAAACAGTATACTTTTTTTGGGTGGGAGTGTGACACTGAAACAATTCTCTAGCTAGTGTTTAACCCGGCAGATCGGTCCCTTACGGATCAGAAGAAATAATGTGGACATAGTGACTGGCAAACAAGGAGTAACAAAAGTGTTTTATAGTCACAGTTTATCCAAAGACATGGTGGTGTGATGTATGAAAGGCTGCTAAATACTTCCTTCACTCCTTAATGCTGACTGCTGTCCTATTCAATTGATTTAGCTGAAATGCAAATAAAAATATTTCATGATAGTGTGAAGAGCCTGGAGACCCTTATGTAGAAAACTTGAGACACTGAGGGGTGTTACAAAAAAAATGGCAGCTTGTGCTTCCATCTAGCAGACTGAAGCCATTGGACCCTTCTCCCAGGACAGCAGGTTTAGTGTCCAATGTGACAGGACAACATGTAGCTGACAAATTAAAACACTCAAACATTCAGCATTTAACAAACACATTTCACACCTTGGTTCATGTCTTCATCCTCCTGTTGATGCACTTTAAACTTCCTTGTACTTGACTCACTATGTCAGCAAATGAGGTGCAGTTTTCAAACACATACAGGTTTCTTGATGCACAAAGCAGGTGAGACCAGGGCGAAGGTGGAGGGAAGAAATGGGAGGCAGCTGAAGTCTATAGTCTGAACTATTGCGAAAAAAGCCTCAGTTTGTCAAACTACATGTCGCAGGATATTAATAGTATTTTAAGCCCCCTACTTTGTGTTTTGAGTCAAAGTAGCTGCCATAACAAAACAGCACATTGTACGTTTTATATTTAAGAAAAGATGCTGAAAACATCTTTCACAAAGAAAAAAAAATGTAATTACATGAAGGCGCTTACATAAAGATTAAAAAGAAAAGAATAACTACTAATGATCCCCAAGTGGCTGAGTTTACTCTGACAGGATGGTACATCTTGGCTGTACTGAGAGACCACGGCTCGTAACCTGTAGAACCTGAAGGTGGCAGACACCTCCGCGGCTCACATTCAGCCTGTTCACTGCAGCCGGATGTTATTACTGAGGGTAGGAGGTGAACTTGGGTCATATTGCTACTTGAAGTTGATTCGATTACCTTTCTTTAAGTAGGTCAAACTCACTCTGCATTCCTCAGAACTGCAAACTCCACCCGTCTTGCACTCAGGCACTCATCATCAGACTTAAAATGAATTTAAATGACTCGAATTAACAACAGACCCAAGTCTGGTTGTTCTGTGGTGAACTCGGGGACCGTGTGGCTCTCCTGTGGAAACCACAGCCGGGCGATACATTTAGCTGCCGAAGCCAAAGATGC